TAATCCTCAATGACGTCTAAAGTTTCAGGTGTTGTAACGCTATAAGAAGGACTCGGATTCGATTCACGACTATCATCGAGAGTTGCATGTTCCAATCCCTTATAAATGGCTCTGAAACAATAAGGATAAAAGTAATTAATAAGTGAGAAAAAGCTGTTTGAAATTTACTTTGCTCTATTTAGTTTTTACTTAGTTTGATAATTTGTCGAGTTAATGGGCCGGCCCATGGGTCGAAGCTTGTTGAAGGGGTATATTTTCTTTTCAATGTCAAAACCTACTTTGAAGTCTATCTCGGTTTCTTGTATGCTGTTGCTTTGATCTTATAGTCCATGCCTATTTAATTTGTTATTAAGGACAGGTCAGGTAATACGAATTGATTATATGCGCCAGTCATTTTGATTAATATTTTCTTTGATTTTTCCTTTGTTTTTCAATCATTTTGTTATATATTAGCACCGTTTCACATCCATACATCAATGTTGGGAGATAATGATCAGTTGATGTTTGTTTATTGGGGTCATTGCATTCATATTTCTGTGTGGTTATCCGCCTTTCAATGCTGAAAATGATGCCAATGTTGAAGGTGACTTCGAATTTGTAGACCTCATTGAGATGATATTTCAGATTCAGCTAAAAACTTTATTACATGCGCAATTCTTGCATTACTGAGTCTGTGTCAAATCCTGACCACGTTGATTATATGCATTGTCAAGGTATTTTACAGCAAGACTTGGGTCATTGCACTAATCTTTCTATGTTATTATCCGCCTTTACATGATGAAAGTCATGCCAATGTTAAGGGTGACTTTGAATTTGTTACACCTTATTGCGCTGGCATTTCTGATTCTGAGAAAGACTTCATTTTTCACCTTATTTGCACACATGTAAACAAGCTTAGGCTCATCCATGGCAAGTTATTCAATTTGTCATTTACAATCACGTGTTAATTGACCCAAAATTGATTCAATCAAATCCATTGAAAGTGACTTAAGAAGAAACAAATAAATCTTTTCCATTAACACTTTTAGCAATCCATGGCTTTTTATCCCCAGTTTCATGCAAATCATTCCTGATTCTGAACAGCTTACAATTGAATTGTCTTCAATTATCTAATGTGTCAAGATCGATCGAAATCTTGAATCAACATTTGTCTCTCTTCAAGGAATCAACCTTTTCAGTAATCAGACAATTTAGTGATTAACAGTTCTTTTCATGTAAATTATTACAATGGAAATCTATTTATATTTCAATTTTACAATTAATAAGTTTGACAATGGAAGTTACCCGAGTGATATAGTGATTTTTATGTTTAATAGCTCATTCGATTGGGCTAAGGGTGTAGAGTAATATCCTGTTGGGTTTTGCATGCAAGTTGAGTGGGTTCCTGAAATATTTAGGTTTTAAATTTGGGCACTTTTATTAAAATTCAAAATTGTCTGTAAAGGCATAGCCTAGTGAATAAAGAATTGGGTGAAGGTATGGAGATTTTGGTTTCGAATCCTAATGGTCTTTTTGTTTTGAATTAACCCAAGAAATTACCGTATTTCCGCACAAAGAAGGCCAGAGCTTATACATGAAATTTACTCATTGGTAAGCCCATGTTTATTTTCATGAACAGGATCATGGTCTTATCAATGAGTAAGCAAATAAACGTTTTTTACGCACTTTTAAGTCCATCACTATGAAGTGCACATTTGAAAAAAATGTGCAATCATTATCTTATCTATTTGGACCTTTTTCTGAAAAAATTATTTGATCAAAACCTGTTTTTTAAATAGAGTTGAAGCCCATAGAGCTTCTTTCAAATAGAGTAAAAAGGGCTAATTAGTGAAGACTTCATTAATAAGCTCTGGCCTTCTTTGTGCGGAAATACGGTAAGCCTTTTTCAATTCAAATTTTTTCTCTAATTTTTTGTTGATTAAGAATATTTGATTAAATAATTTATAATAATTGGTATAGTTTAATACAATTAATTATCATCAAAAAAACTTCATGCATTCACCCAATCCTTTATCCGTTAGGCTATGCCTTTTTGCCCAAAATGATTTTAATGAAAATGCCCAAATTTTAAACCTAAATATTTCAGGAACCACTCAACTCGCAGGCAAACTCCAACAGAGTATTCATCTACACCCTTAGTCCTATCGAATGAGCTATTAAACATAAAAATCCAGGAGTGACACTTGGCAAACTTCCCTTGTGAGTTGAAGTTGAACAGAAAAGTTCATTGTTGATCTCTGATTGCAATAAAGATTTCCGAAATTCTTGGATGATAATGGATTAACATGCAAATATGTTTTTCATCAGTTTGCTTACCTAATGAAAATCAAGCAACAATTGATAGAAAAACTAAAGGCAAATACCGAATGGCTAAAAATGGGCCGAATGGTCTAAAATGGTGAACTTCACTAGATAAAAAAAGCTTTTCTCGAGATAAATGATTAACGAGAAAAAGGTAAAATAAACGACTTTTTCGGCAGATTATCAAAGAAGGAATCATTACAATAGAAATCTATGCAACTTATTTAGTGATTTCAATCTCGAAATAAGATCAGGAAAACAATCAAAAATACCTTATTTTTAATGGAACAAAAGAATAAAATAAAAATGAAACCTTTGTATCTAATTATTGATACAGTAGGGGTTAGGGTTAAGTTAACAAAAGAGGAGATTTTTTTCCTAGTCGCCCTCTAACAGTAAATTAAAGTATAATACCATTAGAATCGAACTTTTTTGTCCAGTTTTCTGTTGCATTGTTTTTTTCTTGTCCCTAGAAACTAAATATGCTCGAGATGGCGACACTTAAAAATTAACTTAACTCTGACCTGTTTTTGTTAACTTAACCCTAACACCTACCGTAGATACTATTATAAAAATGAGTTTCTCTATTTTTCAATTGTTCAACTGTTAAGCTTTAACATTTTTGATGATATCCTGGCTAAATGAAGGAAAGAAGATATTATAAAAATCTAAATTACTTCACCTTAATTACCATCATCTAAATCTGTCTCCTTAATTTGTCATTATGTTAACCGGATTATGTCAACTCCGGTCCGTCAGAGCTAGTGATGGGCGATACCCATTTTTTCCGATAGCGATATTGAAATTCGGCCAAAATATCGTTAATTATCAGTATTTTTATCGAATCTTTTATCGAAATTCAACATTGGTTTCAATGGACGAGCAAAATATCGAAAATATCACCCATTTCTAGCCGGAACAGTCTCGAACCCGTGACCTGATGTGTGAAAGCCAGACATCTATCCAAGATTTAAACCTCAAACCTCCATACTTTCACCTACTCCTTTAACTACTAGGCTATACCTTATTGGACAATTTCAAGATTTTAAAAAATTACTTCGATGAAAATTCCCAAATAATCCCATAAATCTCAGGAACCACTGATCATGCAGATGAATGCATGCAAATACTTTACATTTGTTAATGTAAAGTATTTGCATGTTAAATAAGTAACCTCTACCCCTCTATTTTCGTCACTTAATTGAATCAGGACTTACATGCTGCGTTATTTTTTTCTTAGAACCTAGTTCTTTGGTTGCCCATAATCTTGACGCAAAAAAATTATACATTGACTTCATACTGTATAGACTAGATAGTTTTTTTGAGCATTAACAAGTGAAAGTAACAAAGATTAAGCATTTCAGAGATAAACACTTATTGTAAAGGTTTGACCTCTGTAGTCTTTTTGACAAGACTTGTGATTGTTGAGATTGGTAATCTTGAAGGAAAAGTAAACTCTTAATAAAAAATATTGTTCTAAAGGGTGTTGCGGATAAAATTAGAATTTATCTTGCCTAAAATTTTGATAAAGATGACGTTGACCATGATAACAATGAAGATAACAAAATTAAAGAAGAAACAAACGTAGACAAATCAATTTATCAATGCATCGTCATCTTTATCAAAATTTTAGGTAAGATTAATTCTACTTTTTATCCGCAATACCCTTTTATATCAGGTAACCAACTATGCTTTTGCATAAAATTAATCATTGCGATTTGAATTGAAATCCATTGAAGATTTACCGTATTTCCGCGAATATAAGCATTGTGCTTTTAAACATTCACGCCGTTTTCGGGATTAATCAAAAATTTGCAAAAACAAAATTTTATCAAAGAAAAGAGTAGTAGAATACATTTCGAGGAAATCAAATGAATGATATGATTTTTGGATTGTTCCTGGGTTTTCTAGCGTTCAAAAGAAACACTGTTAATTTACTTATAGACCATAGTTAATATTTGCTGTCCAAGTGAAATCTCCACTGGCCTTTGAAGCATCATGCATATGTTTAATCTTTGAGTAGGCAAATAGAGCTATGAGCGCCAATAAAAAGATTCAATGAATATCTTTAATTTGTTCATCTACAGTATTTGTCTTGTCAAAGTAAAACTAAATTGACCACTGAAGTATCACGTTTGTTTAACTTTTGCGTAAGCAAAAAGTTAAACAACACTACACACCCATCTTTTGATTGTGTAGAATCAATGGGTTTTAAAAATAAAAGCTGATAAAAATGCAGGCAAGCATATGACCAGGTGAACTTTAAATACAATTCAAAAGAACAGATTGACTTTATCGAGGTTCTTTATATTTTATCGAAATCAGTATTTCAATCATTTAGATATGGGATGAAACACCTGATCTCATTCTGTGGGTTATAATCTCCTAGCTTTATGATTTCGGATTTTCATGCTTAGTTACTTTGTTGGATCAACGAACATTGATGAGTTATTCGCTGTTATGAGATACACTGAAATAATTTAAATTTCATGGTACCCAAGATTCAACGACATCAATGCAAAGATGTTGCTATTCATCCAGTGAAAATTGGATTTATCTCTTGACTTTGTACGCATCTAATGTTTACCATTTTGTGTACATGATTCAGAAACCGTATGGTTACAATTAATCAATTGATCTGAGGCGTTTTTAATTGTGTTTATCAGGTATCATTGGAAAGCAAAACAATTCAAATTATTTATTTACAAATGTTCAACTAATTGCTATTCCTTGTGTTTTTATTTGCTTGTAAAAATTGCGTGTACAATAAAAATCAATGCAATTCAAACTTTTAATTGTTTTTACATTGTTTACAACAATCTCAACAAGTAAGAATTGAAATTAGAACTCAATCGTCTAAGCCTAATAATATTTCTTAATTAACACAGTCAGTATCAAAAGTTTGGTGGATTTGCCATTGAAAGTACCTGAAGGAAGTTACGTGATTAATGCTACACTAACTGATGTCGTGAGTTGAACAATCAACTAACTGTTAATCAATCTAGCGTCTAATTTCATCTCTTAGAATGGATTTAAAAAGTATTTTATACAAGAGTTGATATCATCTTCTGGTTCAACCATTAAAGGTAAAATTTTGATCTCAAGTGATACGGATTCTTACTCAATACATTATCATGCTGATTCTCAAACTGGTGTGGACAGTAAGGAACGGTTGGTTATTCAAGGTAAGAAGATTCAAGTATCTTGAAAACTAGATTAAATGAATGTGGAAACAGAGGTTTAAAGAAAAAATCTTGCACAGTATAAAAACCACGTTTGAACTCCTTAGTTGAAAAATAGAAATGATCGACATTCCATTTGTGAATTGATTTAATTAATTATATTTGTTCATTTCACTATCCAAAGGTACAAATTGTTTACTATTCACTTACAAGAAAAGTTGGGATAAAACTTTACCAGGAATCAACAAACCTTTACTCAACCAGATTCTTTTAATGGGACCTTCGATATTATACCGAATAGATCATTCGTTGCTTGTTTGGGTAAATTCATTAACATTTTCCTTCGAAAAAGTCTGTAGAAATGCTTCAATCGACTTTGTTTGTTGGTTAATAGACATCAAACCTTCCACGGTTTAAAAGCGTAAGAGGAACCATGATGATGAGCGCAACATCAGAGATGAACGAAAGACTGAAAATAACTTATTATTATAAACGTGAGTTGAAACAGTTAAGTTTAATTTAATTTACTAATAAAAGACCTTCACTCTTACCTCAGATAATTTGTATGACGAAACTGGAATTAAAAGTCCAAAACGAATTGAAATTAATGGTTATGATTCAAGTCCCTTTGCATCCAAAGAGAATATCATTTTAGATATTTACGTTCAGAACGAGAACACCGTGGATCAACTCCAGAATCAAGTTCAAGTAAGCATTAATAAGTAGCATTTAAGTAAATCTGTATACAATAACAATATTTGCTAAATGGAATAGTTACTGATTCAGAAATGAAAAATTTCTCATTTTAAATGTGCTTTTTCAAGTGAGAACACGAATTTATGATAAAACTATTTTCACTAGCCTTTACCCGGAATCGGATGTCCACACTACTTATCAGGAAATAAAGATCTACCCGCTCTGAGGATTTTTCACTTGCATTATACCATGCAAGAAAACATTCAAGGTTCAACTACTTCTCGATCATTTAATGAGGTTAGTTTATATGCAAAATATTTCAATTCTTTATTCATTCCATTTATTCTCAGATTCATGCTGCACAATTTTACAATTATTTGAGCTTAAAGACAACATTGCATGGTGCAACAACAGAAACGATCAATGATTATCGATTCGGAGTTTCTTTTCCGATTGATTCTGATGGAATTTATGTAGCAACAACTATAGAAACGAATGCGCCTGGAGTCAACATGCATAGTTCATTCACTTTGACTAGTCTTTTTATGCTCGATGGTAGCTTTAAATATCTTGGGAAACTCAACTTGGTAAGTAAATGACGAAAAACGCTCGACCTTTTCATTAAATGCAAGTTTTATTAGAAGTGTTTGTTCGTGGATAAGCATAATTGAATAAATATGACAATTGGGTAATCATATCAACTTTCTTCTGCTAAAAACTATCGCCATTAGTTTGAGAGATATGACTGCATTTAGCTTTGCTCGTCATTCAAAGAATCTTTGCAGATGAAAGATTTCTGAATTTTGTCCACTATGTCCACTAGATGGTTAAGGACTCGCTAGGTATCACTCTAGGTTGCGTTCAATATGTAAAATTCAGTGTATTTTCAATATTCACAAGTAAGCTAATTCAGTTTTTAGCGTAATATTGTAACAATGAATTGTTGAACATCATCTAGCGTATGCATTAATATTGCAAAATCTTTTGTACATTCTAAATAGTTTATTAAAGTCAATACAACTGTAAACTGTATAACTCAAATAGCAATAACAATCCTCCAAAATTGTTTTTAATTATATCCACTTTAGGAACATCGATCTGGAGTCCCTGTTGAAGTATGGGAATCAGTTCAATTTAATGTTAACATCAACGGAAAGAAGGTGGATAAAGCAGTCATTACTCAATATTTTGCTCAATCGGTAAGTTATTTGCATTGAAAGACACAAACTCGATCATGAAGAAAGGTATGATTTGTCCAGACACAAGTCAGTTGTATGATTTTAAAATGCTATTCATTGCTTATATCGAATTCAATATTTAAATGGCGGTCATCAGCAACATGAAGACATATTTTGGGACTATTCTCTTGTCAGTACCAAGATCTCCATCTATGATTATGATCAATCGGTAAGTATTCATTTCACATCTCATTATTTGTCAAAATATTAACATTAGTCTTTGAATAGAAAAAAGTTTACACTTGGAAGGATGGTATCACGAGAGATTACATGAACTTTCAAGAGGTTCGATCCGTCGAGAGTATCCGTTCATTGACAGAAGCAGTTGACTTTAATAGTGATGGTAAATTGATCCTTGATTTCATCTTAGAGTGCGATGGTATGTATCTATTTTAAAATTTGTGCAGTAAACTGCAGAGTCGAAGTTATATGTAAAACAATGACGGGCTTCGTCCTCGATATTTAATCATATAACTTCTCGTTGCAGTTCGTTAAATAATACATAACTATGCATGAAATATACTGCTCATGGAAACTTTACTTTGAAAATAATGGCAAGCCTTGGATCAAGATTGATAGGCTGAAATAAGTTGGTACAAATAATTTCTTAACTTTTTTGTCCTTTTCATTAGATTTAGATCCTGCATACACTTCGTGTGTCAAACACACAGAGAATCGTGTTAACTGGTTGAAAGGAGACTTCCTTTATTATGTTCTTCTAGGTAGACCAGTCAGCATACTACGAATTAGTGATATTCAATATCGCTTCACTGATACAAAAGTCGAGATGGAAGTAACATTTGTCAATCTACCGCAATGTAAGTTAATTCCTCATTCCCACATCCTTCACATACAATTGAGTTCAATCATTAATATTTCTGTTCTTTTGCAGACAATTTCAACTCTAAATTTATGTCTGTCAGCCAAGAAACATTAGCTAAGATGAAAAAAACTAAGGCTGACAGTGAAGACGAATGCGTGAGAAAACTATCGAGTTATCAAGAGACAATCAAGTAAAGACGATATTTATATAAGATATTTATAAAGACAATACTATTTATGAGCGTTTTAATGGCATTAAAATTCGCTTAACTGAAATTGTTTCCTTCTTCGCAACCAGGGTTATCATCTACATAGCCTCGAATCTTGTTTGTGGATACTTGAATAATCTCGAGGATCTCAAAGAAGATCTCAAGCTCGGAGAAGCATCCAGCGTCTTCCAATTCCCACTGAGCAATTTGCATCGAATAAAGCAAGAGTTACCACTTGACCAGATTCATGATGCATACTTGCAAGATGTTGGTCAAACATACGAATTGTTTGACGGAGATATGCGTAAGTATTAATACTTGGTACCTTATACTTCTCATCCTTTTGCGTCACCGAGAAACTCATAACAATCATTCTTATTCTCTTTTCAAAAGCTGTAACTTTTAAGATTATTGATGTTATCGACGTAACTAAAGAGGGAACTGCTCCGTATGATGATATTGCTTCTCAACTTAGATGGGATGCAAAGTTGAAAATCGATGATCAATCCACTCTGTCTGTACTAGATGTAAAAACTTTTGCTGATTGTTACCGAAACTGTCATGATTCAGATCAAGTTTCGTGCATTACTTTTTCATTTTGCAACACTGGTGGTGTAACTGAGTGTAGAGTAAGCAGCTTGCAGTCTTCGGACATTATAAATCGAAACTTGCATACTGAAAATGACATCCATTGTACAATTTTCTCCATAAATATTCTCAACGATTATTCAATAGTGTTCAATAGAAAATTTAAAACTCAGCATTCAACTGGGGTTCTAACAGATCCGCATTCTTGTGCAGAATCTTGTCATGCTTCGTCTGATTGCATATCATTTCAATACTGTGGAGGTTCTTGCAGCTTCGGTGGTTTATTCACAGATGCAGATACTCAATATGATGAAGAATGCACAATATATTTTCGTAAGTATTCTTGCAATCAGTTGAGTCTTTAACCAATTCTATTTCTTATTATAGCCAAAGCAGCTGAAAAATACCAAAAAACGGGAAACAAAATAGTATCAGATGTGATTAGTACCGAAACCAAATTAACTTTAGAACAATGTGCTTCATTGTGTCTTCGATGGTCTGATGGTGACACTAGATGTAAATCATTCAATTACTGTCCTAAGAGTAGAACAGAAAGTTCTTGTTCCCTGACTCATTTTTCAGTCAAAAATCCTGATACCAAAACCAGTGATGGTGGTAAATGTTCAAACTACGAGTTGAAAGCGAGATCGAGTGGAAAGAAACAAAAAGAATCCAGTTCAACTGAAGTAGTTAAAGGGACAACAGGATCAGGTGCTTTTGGTATAATTATACTGTTCCTGTTTGTCGGTGCTGCATTGGGATTCATAACTCCTTTTGCTTACGCAAAAGTTAAACAAATGCGTGAAGCTTCAAAGGTCAATATAGATTTCACTTGGAAAAGACAAATAGATGAACAAATTGGAGATATTCATTAAATCTTTTATTATAAAAAAGTGTTGAATCGTTGATTCATAATAAGGTTGACCAGAAAGTTTTTCTGAAAATTATGCTTATAAATCAATGATCAATTAAAATCAAGTTTAGATGAATACTTTGCAGAGATTTGCATGATGCATAATTAAATTATACACTTTCGAGTTTACAATAATATTCTTCATTGTGAATACTGAATTCAAAGTCCGAAAAAAGTTTGATTTCCTTAGTTATTCTAAATGGACTTCGAAATAGTTTGGATCCTGGATTTACGGACGAAAATCATAAGATTGATAAATGAAAGATAAACTTATTTCGAATCAATAGAATCGTATTCATTATGTCCGAATTACTCGAATTATTTCAGAACTGATTAATATGAAGGATATCTTTCTTATTCTTTCTTTTTGCAGTGAATTATGGTGCAAAAAATGTTAAATATACATAAAAAATCAATAATGCTGAATTAACCTCCACCTCTGACTGCACTAACACTTACCACTTGTAACCAACATACTGACTGTTATATCTTCAGTCTAAAATAAATCGTGAATTCTCAATCTCAACATTTGTAGCGTTTGGCAAATCTTAGACACTAGGAGTAAATTATTGCAAATCGCATATGAATTCAGCATTCATGTAAAATACAGTTAGGTCACATTGTAAAAGTTTTGAGCCAAAATGAAAAATAAACTGGCTCCTTAATTTAGTCTTGGTTAATATGAACTATTAATACCACTAATACATGCACAGTTGAATTCAACACTTTTGTGATATTGTTAAAAACAGTTTTTCATTTCTTTTCAACTGCCTGAGTTGTAAAACACCTGAAAACGGCTTTCGGATTTAGTATTTTATATTAAATGCAAGGATTTTGGTTATTTGTGCAAATTTTACTTTTATTTGTATTTCTTAAAAAGTAGTAATCAGGGAATCATTCATTAAGTTTTTAGATTGATTTATCCATAGTCCTTCAAGTTCAAAAGTTTTATTTTATAATTATTAAGCTTCAAAGCTCAAAAGATTGGCGAAGCAACCCATGAACGTCATAAACTCACGAAAGCTAACTCTTCACAAAGAATACGCCTGAAAGATATTCCTGGAAACTTGAAATTCGAGCTCATTACTTGCTCAGACTACACGAACTGAGGGCCGAAATTTCAGATCAAAATATGAGGTAATCTTGAATTTTCTGATAAATATAAAATCAAAGCCTCAATTTGTTAAAACCAGGGTTTGAATAAGGGCTGTAGCATAAGCTTTTTATTAGATATATTAAAGTTTAAGAAATGTTTTTACAGAAAATAATTAGTAATGTAATTCTATTGCATAAATTGAATGAATTCAATCGACATTTTCAAGTGGCTGCTCATCCTGATGTCTTTTCCAAGTGAAACCTCCGCTAGCCTTTGAAGTTTCATGTATCTGTTTAACCTTTGAGTAAGCAAATGGAGCTATGAATCCCAATCCAATGCCGACAAACAAGAACAACATTATTATACCAAAAGCACCTGATCCCGTCGTCCCTTTAATCACTTTAGTTGAACTGGATTCTTTTCGTTTCTTTCCATTCGATTCTTTTAACTCATAATTGGAACAATGACCTCCACCAGTGGTTTTTGTATCAGGACTTTTGACTGAAAAATGAGTTAATGAACAAGAACTTTCTGTTCTACTTTTAGGACAGTAATTAAATGATTTACATCCAGTTTCATCGCCATCAGATAACTCATAGCATAATGAAGCACATTGGTCTAAGGTTAATTTGGTTTCGGTCAGCATCACATCTGATACTATTTTGTTGCCTGTTCTTTGATACCTTTCAGATACTTTGCCTGGATGGATTTAAAAAAGAAGAAATACGGTGAATTTGAGACTTGGTACTTGGTTTACTTGTAAGAATACTTACGAGTATATATCATGCATTCCTGGTCATATTCAGTAGCTGCATCTGTGTACAATAAATCACCAAAACTACAATAACCATCACAGTATTGAAAAGATATGCATTCGGATGAGGCATGACAAGATTCTGCACAAGAATACACAAAATCTTTTTCAACTGCAGTTGAAAGCTGAGTTATGAATTTTCTGTTGGACTTTCTTGAATAATTGTCAAGAACACTTATGGAAAAGATTTGACATTTTTGATCGGTTTCAATAGACTGATCTCCCTTAGTAATGTCAGAAGCCTGCAAATTGCTTACTCTACAGTCAATTTTACCATCAGTGTTGCAGAATGAAAAAGTAACGCATGCAACTTGATCAGAATTATGACAGTTTCGGTAACAATCAGCAAAAGTTTTTACATCAGGTACAGACAAAGTGAATTGGTCATCAATTTTCAACTTTGCCTGGCTTCTAATTTGCGAAGTAACATCGTCCTTCAAGCCAGTTTCCTTTTTAGTTTTGTCGACCACATCAACAATCTTCATACGTACATCTTTTAAGGAAAGAGTACGAATAAATATCAGTGAGTAAATTAGCAAGAAGAGAAGTACTCACGATAGTCTCTGTCAAACAGATAGATTCTCGCACGATTTTGCAAGTATGCATCATGAATCTGGTCAAGTGTTAACTCTTGTTTAACTCGATGCAAATTGTTCAGTGGAAAGAGGAAGACACTTGCTGATTGTCCTTGCTTAGTATCTTCCTTGAGATCATCAGGATCACTTAAGTATCCGCAGACGCCATCTGAGGATCTGAAGATGGCAACCCTAATTGGTAACATGGCATAATCATTAGTAACAAATTTAATGAAAATGTTAATCTATCAGTCAAGAAATATTAATAGTTACTTAATTGTCTCTTGATATCGTGATAGTTTTTCTAGGCATTCGCCTTCATTGTTAGCCTTAGTCTTCATCATCTTGGCAAATGTATCTTCACTAACAGATATGTATTTAGAGTTGAAAATGTCTAGAATAGAAAAGAAAGTTTAATGGTTGAGCTCAATTGCTCTCAAAATTGTTCAATCAACTTACATTCTAGATGCGGTAGATCAAGAAATGTTACTTCCATTTCGACTTTAGTATCAGTGAAGTGATATTGAATATCACTAATTCGCAGTATACTGACTGGTTTAGCTAAAAGGACATTGTAAAGGAAGTCTCCTTTCAACCAGTAAACACGATCCTCCGTGTGTTTGATGCAAGAAGTGTACCCAGGATCTGAAGCTAGAAATAGGTCATAATTGATATCATTAGTTATCGATATGTATTTCAAATATTGTGTGTTGAGCCCATTTATCCTCATTGGAAGCTTTTCACAACATTCGAAGATGACATAAACTCTAAACAACTTGCGGTGAAATTCAACAAAAAGTATACAAAGTTGCTAAACTAAAATTTAACGGCGCTGTCTCAACTAAATTTTCATGTCAAAGGTCCCCAGGGCTTATCAACCTTTAAAATTGTTCGTCAATACATACCATCGCACTCTAATATAAAGTTAAGGATCACTTTTTCATCGGTAGACGCGAATTTAGCCTTTTCTGTCAATGATTGAATATTCTCGACTGAGCGAACCTCTTGAAAGTTCATGTAATCTCTTGTGATCTCGTCCTTCCAATCGTAAACTTTTTTCTAGTCAAAGAAAAGGTATAAAGACTAATGTTAATAATATATAGTATTTTGAAAAAGTCATGAATCGAAATGAATACTTACCGATACATCATAATCATAGATGGAGATCTTGGTACTGACCAGAGAATAGCCCCAAAATATGTCTTCATCTTGCTATAAACCGTCATTTAGATCGAAATTAGAACAAGTAATGAACTTATCTTTAGAAAGGCATGCAATTGACTCGTTTACAGAATTTCTGGACAAATCTCACTTTTCTTTTGATATCAGATGTGTGTTCAATGCAAATAACTTACCGATGGAGCAAAATATTGAGTAATGACAGCTTTATCCACTTTCTTTCCATTTATGTTAACATTGTATTCAACTGATTCCCATGCTTCAACAGGCAGTCCAGATCGATGTTTCTAAAAGAGATTCAGATTATTTATTGGAATTTGAGTTACAGCTTACAGTTTTATTACAATTGATTCGTTTGAGTCTAATAAACTACTCAGAATGCATCTAAAAGGTTATTGAATATCCGCTTCATAAGGGTTAACAATACATTGTTGTAATAGTAAGAAGTCAACAATCAGGCAAACTTTTGAGCATAAAGAAGATACTCAATTTTGCTTATTTAAATCAATACAGAATGCTTCACAGCGAATATAATCGAAAGGGAAATCGATAATTTCAATCAATTTCCAGAATTATTGTGATTAACACATTGAGAAGTCTTGCATCTTTGAAGATTCTTGGAATGACGAGCAAAACCAAACACCGTCATACCTTTCAAAGTCTATCTTTGAAGAGAATACCCAAAGAAAGAAAGTTTATATAATTATTTGATTTCCATGCCTATTTAATCATGCTTATTTACCAGAAAAAAGCACATATGAACTCAATTAATTATGTTTCATTTACTTACCAAGTTGAGCTTCCCAAGATATCTGTAGATAGCATTGACCATGAAAAGACTAGTCAAAGTGAACTTTGAATCTTTGTAGATCCCAGGTGTATTCGTGTCTATAGACACCACAGCAACAGATCCATCTGTATCAACATGAAAAGCAACTCCGAGTCGATAGTCGTACATAACTTCACTTGGTGAACCAACCAATGATGTTTTTATCCTTAAAAATTCGTAAAATTGGGCAGCATAAACCTGACAGTGAAAATGAATTGAATGACAAATAAAAATAAAGTTTAGAGCGAAAGTACCGGTGATTGAACATTCAAATTTTAGCTGCGAAGTAAAAGATTACTGGACGATCCTAATTCAGTCTCATAGTTTATTCACTGAAGATTTATTAGACCAGATACAATTTTAAATCCTGTTTCTACTATCATTTGTTTAGAATTCAGTTCACAAAACTTGAAATTCATTTATGACTCTTTTTCAGTGCTCTAAAATATTGCAATCAACATATTATTTACAGAGAAATCATAAGCTTCCGAGTTTCTATTCAAATCAACGCTTTAAAGGGAGAAAGGAATATACAGCCATGAATCGAAAGTTGAATCCACTTTTTGAGTAATTTGCGCATTTCATTATCAAATCTATGATTAACTTAATCAATTGCTGATTACAAACTGCTAATCCATACATTTTGAGTCAAAATATCTAATTTAGATAATAAAACCAATAGCTGATTACCTGCGCAATTGATTTAAAAAGTGGATTCAACTTTCAATTCACGGCTGTATGTTTGTACTCAAAGTCCTAATAAGCGTACCCAAATCGTCGTAAGTAATGAAATGAATTTTCCAATACTTTTGCATAGCCTCATTTACTCGGATAAACTTACCTCACTAAGTGATCGAGACGTAGTTGAACCTTTGATTCGTTCCTCCATGATGTAGTGCATGTGATAAACTCTCAACGCTGGTAATGCTTTATCACCAGATAAGTAATGTGGACACCCAATTCCAGATGGAGGCTGGTCAAGGGATAAGCAATGAGTTTTAGCATGAATTCATGTTTTCATTTGAAAAGTGTATTTATAGAAATGAAAGATATTTCATTTACATAAATGATTTGTATAAATCAAAAACTTTCCACAAATAATATTATTTTGGTATTTTTATTGACATGTACTTACTTGAACCTCATTTTGGACTTGATCTAGGAAAAGGTCTTCTTCTTCAAAGTAAGTATCTACATGTTCAATAAAATAGATATCCACATAAAAAATGGAATCTTTTCCTGGATTAGGAATCGTAGTTGAATCATAACCACCAAATTCAATTCTGCTTGGACTTTCCATTCCAGATTGGAAATCGAGACGACCTGAGTTTACAAAAAGAGCAACAATATAATGAATTCCATCAGCTAATTGCATTCAAATGTTAAACTTACTCTTGTAATAGAAAGTAATCTTCAAATTTTCATTAACTTTTGCTGATGCCCCTCTCATCATGATTCCTCTGATATTTTTTTCTCCGATTGATTTCTATTAACAGACAAATAGAATTAGTACATTTTTATAAAATGAATCAATGCAAATGATTACCCAATTAAACAACGAACGATCAATTCGATATAATATCGAAGGTCCCATCAAGAGAATCTCGTTGAGTAAAGGTTTGATGATTCCCGATAAAGTTTTATCCCAAATATTCTTGTAAGTGAATAGTAAACAATTCGTACCTTTGACAATGAAATGAGCAAAAATGGAAACAAATTGACTCAACTTGAACAGAAAACTCGAGAAATACATGTAAGTTTGTACTTCATTGGTATCAATTGTTTAAGATACCATTCTCACCACATAAATCTGATTGATATTCCATCGATCAGTTAAATAGAAAAACTTGAATCTTCTTACCTTGAATAACCAACCGTTCCTTACTGTCCACACCAGTATACGAATCAGCATTATAATGTATTGAGTAGGAATCCTTATCGCTTGAGACCAAAATTTTACCTTTGATGGCTGAACCAGAAGTCGATATCAGCTCTTGTATAAAATACTTTTTAGATCCACTCTAAGAGATGAAATTAAAAGTTAGATTGATCGACAATTAGTTGATTGTTAAACTCACGACATCAGTTAAAGTAGCATTAATCACTGAACTTCCTTCAGGTACTTTTAATGGCAAGTCCACCAAACTGTTGGTACTGACTGTGTTAATTAAGAAATATTATTAGGTTTAGACGATTGAGTTTTAATTTCAATTCTTACGTGTTGATATTGATGAGTAAAATGTGAAAACAATTAAAAGTCTGAGCAACATTGCAATGGAGATTCAATACAGAAATATATAAAAACACAGTTAATTGCAACAATTTGTTTCTAATTGCTGTTGCTCCGCATTTGCAAATGAATTGACTGTTTACTAAATAGACTTTTATACTATTCAATAATATTGTTTGCAAAGTTCACTCAAATTAAAGACGCCTTTCATTAATAAATTAATAGATAACTCAGTGATCAAAGAAATCAAAGATATCAAAATCATCAAAAACAGTTGATTAGGTTTTTGATTTATGTATTAAATTCAACATGAGGGAACCGAAGATAAATAGTTACTTGGTCAAATGAAATAAAAACATGATAAAACCTCTGAACAAACAGATTAGATGCGATTCTATCGTTACCAAAATCTTTTCAATGTCGTTCCAACCGCAAAAGCTGTTTTGATGTAGTTTTTGCTCGATATTGGTTTTTTTGAAGCGAATTATGTTATGTTATAGAGTGTCCAGTCCACTCTCTTGACTTTGAGCTAATAGCGAACCTTTCAATGATAACTTGCGATTTTATGGTAATGCCTGACAATCAGCGAAAAATTCAAAAACTCCAGATAAGTGTCATTATTCTTAGACTTAACAAGAAACTAATGCGATCATGGCTGATCGCAAGTTTCTTTTAACAACCCATGCTAACCGTCTTTTCACGGTGATGTCCACCATCCAATCTAACACATCCGCCAAATCAACTAAATCAAACATCACTTTTCGTCCACCACTTTCATTAACCACTTTAGAGTATTCAGAAACACTTTTTCTTATAAGATTATCCACCACCCAATTTGACCACTTTTTGAGATATGATGGCGATTAATAGTGGACATGCTAGATGGTGGTGGACAATTTTGTTGAGAAGAGTTTTTTTAAAAATTGATGTTGTTTTGGTTGATTTGGTGGATGTGTTGGATTGAGTGGTAGAAAATATGGTGAAAAAAGCTTCTCTGTACTCTTTACTCAAATGACAAAGTTTTAAATAAAATCCTGGCCCAACAATGAACCATAAACCTGAATAACAAAAAAGTTTTTCCCCCTTTTTCAATGTTATTGAATACGGATTCTACACTTTTTCCCCCAACCTCTATTTTCATGAATTTCTCAGAGATCTGAATTCTGAGGTGAGGTTTCCTATTTTTCGTGGATGTAGTTGAATTCGGGCTTTGACGCTGTGTAGTTTTTTTTCTTAAAACCCGCTCAGTTTGACCACAATCTTGACACAAAAATTTGATACATTGACTTTATATATTGTGTAGATAAACATTAGTAGATTAATGATGAAGCTAAAAGTTCATAAAAAAAATTTTGAGTCGACATTTGAGAGTAATTAAGTCGACGCTTAAACTTTTTACCAAGCATTTTGGTCATTGAATTTCCAAATGACTTTAAATTTTCAATTTTTTGGCACAAAATACATAATTTGGTGTGTGCACAATGCGTAAATTTATCATGAAAAATCTTAGATAAAAAATTTTTAACCGCAATCACAAAAAATAACAGTTTGATCTCTAAACTTTTCCAGTATTGCATTTTCTCAGGAAATTTGCAAGTTGATAACTAACGATTTGTTTTTGTTCAATTTTTGTTCTACTCAATTTGTATCATAGATTCATTGGTCATCTTGTATGGGCCAGCTATAAAGCTGGAAGATATTATAAATAGGTTTTATTAATTATTATTATTATTTATTAGGTTTTCTTACAGAATAGATATTGCAATTATTATATATTATTATTGTTATTACATTATTATTACATTATTACATAATTATATTGCAAACTGATCAATAACTAATTCTCAGAATTGATATAATGTACTAGCATATCAATACTAAGATATCAGGGCTATCAGATAATTCAATAATTTTCTGTTTTTATTTTTTAAGGGGTTCTACCGAGTCACATGGCTTTTTATTCTTGATGGTATTCACCTGCAATACTCTTTCCCAAACCACACACATAGAATTATCAAATATCTGTTACTCGACTCAATTTACCTAAAAGCTTTTGGCTTTAATTCGACTCATGAATTGGGTCATTTCAAGAAACAACAAAATTTTAAAGTCAACCTCTTTTTCAACTGATAATATTTTCCAATTCAAACTCTAAAGGCTCTCCTTTGGTTTACAGAGTTGGCAAAAATATGAGGATGCCTTTTTAATTGAAAAATGCATTCGTAAATGCTGTACGTGCTATTCTCAGTTTTTATGTTTGATTATATTGATTGCTATGTTTATTTCAACGATTTCATTGTGTTTGAAAAGACTAAACTGAAAAAGATTCAAGACTGTTTTTTTCCTGGAAGACATGATGTTTAGCTTCATATAAGTAAGTAAATTCATTTTCCTACCAATCGTATTAATTACTTAGGATATCAATACTAAGACAATCATCAGACTGGCGGGAATCGACCTGAATAAAATCTCTATCTAGTATTTCATTGCTAAAGCGCTCTTCGATGTTGATTAGATCAGACAATTTCGGACTTTTCACACAATTTTTCTAAGGTTTCTCATTGTTACGCTAGAGAATCTGATCATTATAGCTCATTCTATTCTCAAAAAGGTTGAGGTCTTGACTAATAAAGAAAAGATTTTTGTTGACCATCTTTTGGTGCTTTTCTAGTCCTACACAACCATAAGTTTGAAGAAAGGGAGGAATAGACCAAACCTTTTGAAGCACCTTTTGACCGAACTGTGTCTCAATAAAATCTTTGAATCAAATCAGTTTCGCCTAATTTCGGTCGTTCTATTAAATTGTTGATCTGTGAGTGGGCATACTACAATGATGAATAGTGATCATACATTATTTTGGTAGTTTTATTTAGTCTATTCTACATGAAAAATGATATCTCATCAGATTGATTTTCATTTATTAATAAAAAGTTATTTTCACTATGGTTGGTTATTTTTTAGATGTGCTGTAAGTTATTTAATAACTTGTAAACTTTTGACTAATATTATTATATATACCTATTACTAGTAGATATGACTGCTAAAAGCACGAAAGAAAAGAAAATTTTTTACATTAGTTCATTCCCAATTCATTTAATACAATATGTATAATATTGATATTTGCAAATAGTTATATTCAATAGGCATTTTCAAGTTGTTGCTCATCTTGTTGTCTTCTCCAAGTGAAATCTTCATTGGCCTTTGAAGCATCATGCATCTGTTTAACCTTTGAGTAAGCAAATGGAGCAATAAATCCCAATCCAAGACCGACAAACAGGAACAAAATTATGATACCAAAAGCACCTGATCCCGTCGTCCCTTTAACCACTTCAAATGAACTGGATTCTTTTCGTTTCTTTCCATTCGATTCTTTCAACTCATAATTGGAACAATGACCTCCATCAGTGGTTTTTGTATTAGGACTTTTGACTGAAAAATGAGTTAATGAACAAGAACTTTCTGTTCTACTCTTAGGACAGTAATTGAAAGATTTACATCCAGTTTCATCGCCATCAGATAACTCATAGCATAATGAAGCACATTGGTCTAAGGTTAATTTGGTTTCGGTCAGCATCACATCTGATACTATTTCGCTACCTGTTCTTTGATATCTTTCAGATACTTTGCCTGAATGAATCAAGAAAAAGGAAGAAATACGGTGAATTTGAGATTTGTTACTTGGGTTACTTGTAAGAATACTTACGAGTATATATCATGCATTCTTCATCATATTCAGTAGCTGAATCTGTGTACAATAAATCACCTAAACTACAATAACCATCACAGTATTGAAAAGATATACATTCCGATGAGGCATGACAAGCCTTTGCACAAGAATGTACAGAATCTTTTTCGGTTGCAATTGACAGCTGAGTTATGAATTTTCTGTTGGATTTTCTCGAATAATCCGCAAGAGCATTTATAGAAAAAATTTCACATTTTGGGTCAGTTTCAACTGACTGATTACGAGTAGCAATTTCAGAAGGATGCAAACTGCTTACTCTACAGTCAATTTTACCATCAGTGTTGCAGAATGAAAAAGTAATGCATGGAACTTGATCAGAATCATGACAGTTTCGGTAACAATCAGCAAAATTTTTTACATCAGGTACAGACAAAGTGAATTGATCATCGATTTTCAACTTTTCATACAGTCCGATTTGAGAAGTTATATCGTCATTAGAGTCAGTTTGCGTTTTAGTTTTGTCGATCACATCGTTAATCTTAAAAATTATATCTTTTGAGGAAAGAAAAATAATATGTATCAGTTAATTAAAGTAACTAGATGCAAAGTACTTACCTTCGTCTCCGTTGAATACATGGAATTTCATACCAACATCTTGCAAGTATGCATCATGAATTTGGTCAAGTGTCAACTCTTGTTTAACTCGATGCAAATTGTTCAGTGGAAAGAGATAGACACTTGCTGATTGTCCTTGTTTAGTATCTTCCTTGAGATCATCAAGATTACTCAAGTATCCACAGACAAGATCCGAAGATCTATAAATTGCAACTCTAATTGTGAATAAGGAAACAACCATTAGTTACAAATTGAGTCTAAATGTTCATGCAATCGAGAAATTATATTTACTTGATTGTCTCTTGATATCGTGATAATCTTTCTAGGCATTCGGGTTCATTGTTAGCCTTAGTTTTCATCATCTTATCGAATGTCGCTTCACTGATAGACATAGTTTTAGAGTTGAAAATATCTGAAAAAAATTAAAGTCCTCTAATGAATTCAACAGCAGTCAAGTGAGGTGAGACGCAGAAATTAACTTACATTCCAAATGCGGTAGATCGAGAAATGTTACTTCCATTTCGACTTTTGTATCAGAGAATCGATATTGAATATCACTAATTCGCAGAAGACTTACTGGTTTAGGCAAAAGTACAAAATAAAGGAAGTCTCCTTTCAACCAGTAAACACGATCCTCCGTGTGTTTGATACACGAAGCGTATGCAGGACCTGAAACTAAAAAAGCAAATATTAAGCTTATTATATTCGTTCAAAGATTTTCTAAATCAAGAATATTTCTAACCAGGAAAGAGACCTAACTGGTAAGATCTGATTCAGACAATTATTTGATAAATTGATAGAAATGAGGGGAAAAATAAACCTGGAGAAATTTCGGGACCTGCAATTTTCAAGTCTAAACACTCATATATTAATGAGCTAATTATGCAAAAAAACGACCAAAACAGCGCTTTCGTTCAGAAAAAGCAGACGAAATGGATGCTTTTTTCAAACTCATAAGGATAACTTTCATTAAGTTTACATAAGTTCTCTTCCAGGGCTTCAAGTAGGAGTAGGAATAAAACTTGAAGTAGGAAATTGCAGGTCTAATATTTTCTAAGTCAACCAAATTTCCATGTCAGAGACTCATAACTTCAAATTTGTTTATCAATAGTATTGATTCAATACATACCATCGCACTCTAATATGAAATTAAGTATCAATTTACTATCACTAGACGCGAAATCGCCCTTTTCTGTCAAAAAACGAATATTCTCCATAGTTTGAGCATCTTGAAAGTCCATGTAATCTCTTGTAATTGCATCTGTCCAAGTGTAAACTTTTTTCTAGTCAAAGAAAAGGCATAAAGATTAATATTGATATTTTGGGAATAACAAGAATAGAAATGAATACTTACCGCTTGATCATAATGATAGATGGAAATCTTGGTACTGACAAGAGTATAACCCCAAAATATGTCTTCATAATGCTTGATTAAGATCGAAATTTAAATATTGAATTCGAAATAAGCAATTAGTTCTTCATATAACTGACTTTTGTCTGGACAAACCTCACCTTAATTCGTCATCAAAGGGAATTTAACGCAAACAACTTACCGATTGAGCAAAATATTGAGTAATGACGGCTTTGTCCGCTTTCTTTCCATTGATGTTAACATTGAATTGAACTGATTCCCATGCTTCAACCGGGATTCCAGATCGATGTTGCTAAAAGAGATTCAAGAGAAACAAGAATTTTCATTGCTATTCAAATTACACAGTTTACAGTTATATTAAATAAATTGGATTTCATCAATTTTTTGTTGCTTTTGAAGAATGATCCGAATGTAACCAAAAGATTATTGAATGATTTATGAATTCAATTAATAATTGTGTACAATTCATCGTTATTATGTCAATGGAATAGCATGTTAACAAGTAGCTGAACAAGCTTACTTGAAAGCATTGAAAAGTTACTGAATTTTGCATATTAAACTCAATAAAGATTCTTAACCAGTGAACCCATCATTATCTGATGAACTTACTGAGAAATCTGTCATCTTTGAAGAATCTTTGAATATCAAACAGAATCAAACACTGTTATACCGCTCAAAGTTTCGAAAGAAAGTTGACACAGTAATATCAACGAATAGAGTTTCCATGCTTATTCGACCATTCTTATTTATCACCAAAAAACATACTCAAATTGAATAAATTTTTCGTCATTTACTTACCAAGTTGAGTTTCCCAAGATATTTAAAGCTACCATCGAGCATGAAAAGGCTAGACAAAGCAAAATTACCATTGGAGTCGATTCCAGGGGTATTCGAGTCTATGGATGCCACAGCAACAGATCCACCCTCATCAACATTAAAAGCAACTCCGAGTCCATAGTCGTAAATAATTTCACTTATTGAACCAAGCAATGATGCTTTAATCTTCAAAAACTCGTAATATTGGGCAGCATAAATCTATCGACGAAAATGACAAATTAAAATTGAGCTTACAATTCAGGGAATTCAACATTGACAAAAGCCTCAAAATCACTCGAAGATCATGCTTCAGTTTCATAGTTTATCTATTAATACTTAGGATTGACTAGACTCGATTTCAATGTTGTATCTTGTTTACACTATGGGCCGATTTGGCTGTTGTCCTTTTGATATTAATTTTCCATCTTAATGATCTAAAATATCTTAGGAACCACTTCATTTTCAGAAAAAGTAAAATAGATGTTTCATAACTCAACATGCTCTAGCCAATGAGACCTCTCTCATTTACAGCATTTCTCGATGACTTTAGACAAGTTCCCACAATGTTTAGTCGGCTTCTCGAAATGTTTAGACAAAATCTTAAGCCGGTCATAAAACCAGTTACTCTTCTCAAAATGTTTCGACAGTTCTCATATTGTTTAGTCAAGTTCTCAGAATATTTAGACAGAATCTCAAAGAGTTGAAATAAGTCTAAAGTTGTCTAAAGTCATCGAGAAATGCTGTAAATCCGCGTCAGGTATGTCATCCCTTGTAAGCTTCATTTGACTAGATAAACTAACCCGACTAATTGTTCGAGACGCAGTTGAACCTTGGATTCGTTCATCCATGGTGAATTGCATGTGAAAAACTCTCAATCCTGGCATTTCTTTATCACCAGAAAAGTAATGTGGACATCCAATTCCAGGTGGAGGCTAGTCAGAGGAAAAGCAATGTTAGAAATGAGTTTTAGCATGAATCCATGTTTAAAAAACCAAAGAATGTATTTCATTTCTGAATCAATTTTTTTCCCAACCACTATTATTATATTTTTATTGAACTATAATAATACTTACTTGAACCCCATTCTGAAGTAGATTGTGAGCAATATCATTCTCAAAATAATTATCCACATGCAGAATAGAATAGATATCTAAAATGATATTCTCTTCGCTTGGAAAGGTACTTGAAGCTGGATCATAGCCATTAAATTCAATTCTACTTGGACTTTCTATTCCAGATTGGCGATCAAGATGACCTGCGTTTACAAAAAGAGTGAAAATCTTTTAAATTAAAACCAATTTAATCTGCTGTTTTAACTTACTTTTGTAATAATAAGTTATTTTCAACCTTTTATTGATTTCAGTTGATTCGCCTTTCATCATGATTCCTCTAATCTTTTCATTTTTTACCGGTGTCTATCAATCAACAAATGGAATTTATTACATTTGAATAAAAGGAATAAATAAGAATAGTTACCCAAACAAGCGACGAATGATCAAGTCGATAAAATATCGAAGGTCCCATCAAAAGAATCAGGTTAATTAAAGGTCTTTTAATTCCAGGTAAAGTTTTATCCCAACTATTCTTGTAAGTTAATAGCAAACAGTTTGTACCTTTGGATAGTGAAATGAAAAAGATATAAATTGACTCAACTGGAACATTAGACTCGAGAAAAAAGTGTTCACTTCATTGGTATCAATTATTTCAGAAACAATCTGATCACATGAATCTGTTCATATTTTTTAAATTCCATGAATAAGTTAAATTGGATAAATTCGAATATTGTTACCTTGAATAACCAACCGTTCCTTACTGTCCACACCAGTATACGAATCAGCATTATAATGTATTGAGTAGGAATCTTTAGCGCTTGAGATCAAAATTTTACCTTTGATGGATGAACCAGAAGATGATATCAACTCTTGTATAAAATAATTTTTAAATCCACTCTAAGAGATGATTATAAGAAATTAAAAGTTATATTGGCCAACAATTAGTTGATAAACTTACGGCAGTTGTTATAGTAGCATTAATCACTGAACTTCCTTCAGGTATTTTTAATGGCAAGTCCACCAAACTGTTGGTACTGACTGTGTTAATTCAGAAATAAATATTAGGTTTAGACGATTGAGTTTTAATTTCAATTCTTACGTGTTGAGATTGATGAGTACAATGTGAAAACAATAAAAAGTTTGAGTAACATTGTAATGGAGATTCAATACTGAAATAAATAGGAACACAGTTAATTGCTGTTGCTGAACATTTGTAAATGAATTAACGGTTTATTAAATAGTTTTTTATATTATTCAATAATATTGTTTACAAAGTTTAAAGACGCCTTGCATTAATAAATTATGATAATAGATAACTCAGTGATGATTAAAGATATTGGGTTTATCAAAACAGTTGATTCGGTTTATGATTTATGAACTTTAACTCAACATTGGAAATATGGAAATTTTTCAACTAGTTACTTGGTCAAATGAAATTGAAAATTTGATAAAAACTCTAAACGAATTGATTAGATACTATTGTATCATTACCAGTATCTTTTTGTGCGTCGTTGAAGTTCTGGTTAGTAGTCAGCATGAGCAAAGGTTTTCGTCTATCGTTATGAATGAAACCATGCATGGATCACATTGTTGTCTCATTTAGCTGTTACTGACTCGGATTAGGGACGTGTGTTGGTTTTGCCTGTACAGCCATTTCGCTTCAACTTTCATCCATAGCAGAATTATTTATCATCTATCTTTTTCTTTTTCCTCTAAGCTTGCTAAGCATAAATTGTAACCAGAAGTCTACGGCAAGATATAATGAATTAACAGGAGGTTTTCCGCAATCATTGAGAGTGATAATTTGGATTGGATGCACGACAACGGAAAAATAAATGACACTTTATGACAAGAAAAATGAAAGCAGAAAATTAAGAACAAATTCAGCAGAAGTATTGTTCAAACCTCAAAAGCTGCAATCCGATATAACGCACCAATTCATTGTTTTTTTCTCAATTCTGGTTGGAAGCGAACGATATTACTGTAATAAAGTTACCAGCTCACTCTCTTGATCTTAGAGAACCTTTGTGGATGTCTTTCGGGAAAATTTTACGCTAATGGCCATTAATATCGAAAATCAAGATTGAATCGGCAATTGTCAAAAAAATGACCATAAATTCCAGACGAGTGGCTCTAATCTCTTTTGGTTTGACATTTGAGAATAATTAAGCGAATCTCTGAACTTTTTGTCAACTAATTTTCAAATGGCTTTAAATCTTGAATTTTTTGACACAAAATATAATAACAATAACTTAAAATAATGTTCATGCTATGAATTTCTCGGAATTAATGAATGATTGCTTGCACTAGACTAAAAATAAGTTATCATGGTTATCAGATAATTCATGACATTTTCTGTTTTCATTTTCTAATGAAAAGGGGTTCTTCTTGACTCACACGACTTTTTATCCTCCATGTAACCCATCTACCTCGTCCCCAAACCACACAACGATCCAGATACCAGAAACGCCCTTAACCGTTACTACTACCAATTGATTGATGAACTTCGATCTGAAAAACAGAATTATCATTATATCGGTTGCTAGAGTCAATTCAGTCGGCAAAACTTTTACATTTGCTTCTACTCATAATTTGGGTTGTTTTTGCGCAAAAATAAAATTTTATTAATAAAATCAACCTCTATTTAACTATTCCAAAGTTCTTTTCTTGGAGAATCGATCTCTTTTCTATGATTAATGTTATCGACTTATCCTTGTTTATTTGAGATGAGGTACAATGCGTTTGTTTCATTTTAAGCCTTTTTGCGGTCATAACTCAGCAACAGCTAATGATCTCAGGTTTGAATCATACAGAATTCAACAACTTTTGATTCAGATTTTAAGGTCGTTAAGGTCAGTCTATTCTAACTGATAATGTTTTTCCAACTGAAATTAAAAGACTTTCCTTTGATTTAACTTCTACAGTACAAAGAGATACATAAAAATACCGTAAAAGTCGACCTCATGTCTTCACTCTTTCTTCATCATTATCCTTTTATTATGGGGCTGAATGCTTAACCTGGAATTCCCTCAGCTTGAAGTCAACTTTAGGGGCAAATGCACCAGAATCACAATAAAGAGATAGAGAGTTCGTGAGAGTACCGCGTTCTACCTTATTATGCATGTTGAATTCGCGGAATTAAGTCTGACTTTGGTATCGAATAATCAAAATGCAATCTTTGATTCTGTAACTTCATTTTTTAATATTCTGGTTAAAACCTCATATTTTTACATTTGAATTTATTTCAACTGCTTGTTAGAAATAATTTATTATATCTTGTCAATGGGCTCAATCTTAATGGCTTATGGCGCTCTAAATTTAATTTTGGCCTGGATCGAATTGGGAGGACTTGCAGAGAGAAATTGAAATTGTCTCTACCTATCGACGGGAATTTGGCAAATCTCAGAATATTTCAGTAATTTTTGGTCAATCATTTTAATCACTATGAAGATAACGACACTTGAAGATAGAGAATTAAAACTTTTGTAAAATGGCTCGTTAGAATTTTTACATCATTGGAATAGTTTGTTCACAGTTTGTAACTATTCTCTGTATTATATCGTCTATCAGTCAGATTTTTGAGGATGAAAATCAGAGGTCGGATAATCACTAAGCATTCACATACAGCATGAATTTGAATTTAAAGTTTCAAAAAACATGGAATTGGTTTACCAAGAAAAAATAATTCATCAGCTGATGAAGTCGATGTAAGTCGTTCTGATGATTTAATAAACCAGTTTTGCTCTTCCATGTTGTAAGCATACTTTACAGTACAGAGTAACTTCTTTGTAAAAAAATAACAATTATAATAAAACTGATTGAGTTTCGTGATATAATTTAAAATATTAATATAAATAAAATTATACAAGTCAAAATCTGTAAAATTCAACGGTTTTATCAAATGATTAACCTAAAACCAGAAATTGTGACGTCACATGTTTGTTGTTACCAAAGAGTGAGAGCAAAGTCTACTCTTTGGTTGTTGCTCCTTTTTTGGAGGGAAACACAAAAGGGGATCTCGATACCAGCAATATTGAATAGTAAACATCTTTTTTCCTTGTTCAATGTTTTCAGTTTCACCAATTAATTAATTTCTTAATTGATCCCAAATTTTAAATACTTTTTCTTTGTTTTTCTCCAACAGATGAATGTATGTTGAAGCTGGAACCTCTTTGGCGTATCCACCAAGAGAAGCTGGAAGTAGATTTGGAGGAACAAATTTGTGCAATGTGGAACAGTCTTTACTATGGAAGTGCATCACCTGTTTCGTTGAGGCTGTCATAAATGGTTTAAATAATGCGAGTCCTGCATCTTGGAATCTACTTGCGTTGACGAAATGGATCGAGGCCAACTTTCGTGGTAAGATGCGCTCAGTCAAATCGGAAAACAGTTTGGCATTGGAAACACCTGTATGATAAATGTGTGTTAGCTTGATACCGCTCATATCAATGACAACGATGAAACCATTTTTTTGAACATCTTCATCGAGTAAAAGTACTTCTGACCACAGGATAGCCAGTTTGATGTAAGTTGTGTATGAAAAATCACTTGGATTCCATTTACCCGGTGTTACCAGATTCACCACACAACCATCAGGTGTCCTTTCCGGGTAGTGAAGGAAAATACCTGCTTCGATCACTTTTTTGATCTCATCTGTCCAGGAAAACAAGTCTGATCGTTTGTTAATTATATCAACATACGCAGTTAAGGCGGTCATTGCCTGGGTCACATCATAGTTGCGGCAACGTAAAAATTTGATCAATAACGTATCATCAAGATGCAAATCATTTAATCGACTATTAGTTGACAAAGTGGATCGAAAGGCTTCCAATTGACTTGACTCTGAATTGTGGTCTTTCATTTTGTCTTATTCACGTTGACACACTGTAGCTATTGTACTTTTAGATGGAAAATTTTTCACCTTTTCACTTGACGAACACAATTGTCAATGATATTAGAAAATTAATTTACTTCAAGTTTTGTCGGAGCATTTAAAGCTTCACAAGTGGTTGAATTAGCTCTTGAAAACTGTGACTCAAGTTAAACTTGGGAAAATAATGAAACAGTCCAAGAGTTTTCATAGATTTTTGAAGGACTTTCCAGTCTACTAAAATTATAATAGTGTCTTGGATGATTAAGCTGACAAGGTTATTTCACGTAATATTTGACAAGTAATTTTTTCATCATAAACCCATGTAACTTTGATTTGCTGCAGGTTATAAACAAGATTTGGTTTCGTATCACGATCAAAGGGAGGAGAGTCGTACAGAGGGGAGTTACACTGGATAAGCTGATTGAACCATAATAATAACCATCAAATATAATGGATCCCTGAAGATTGGACGATTGAATGAGAGATTTGTGAAGTAATCAAGTTATACTTATCTACTATTTAAAGACAAATATTGGTTAATCCTCTGAAATTTCAGTTATTTATAGAAACACCGTTAATTTATTTATAGCCAGTTGAGTTTTAGAGGCCATTTCTCTTGATAAGATCTGGCTTCATCTTGAACTTATATCTGTTTATTAATTTAATACCGGTAATCTCCGGTAAAACGTTGTTGGATTCAGCTTGTGGCTGTTATAATTACATTGTTGATTACCTTACGATTATTTATCTGCCTCAGGACATTTAGCTTTTAATAATAAGCTTTCTCTTTCTCTATGCAATTATGTTATTTACAAATTCTGGTTAGGTTCCGATTATTTGGTTCACTTTAAAGTAACCGGTTTGTGTACTTGAATAGGCAAAAGATCAGTTAATTCGGACTTTGATTGCTGTAAACTGTTCTCTGAGTTCAGATGTAATCATAAATAGGTTTATTATTCATTAAAGTTAAACCTTGGACAATTTAATGTTGGGCTTTTTCAACCATTTTCAAGTGCATTTTAATTTATTATGCGACTGAATAATTGATCACTTGACTCGCTCATGATTCAAATTGAATAAACAAATTTAATGGGTGTAATTGTTAATTAATGAGAAATTTATAATATTGGCTGTTCATGATTATTATTCTTCCACAGGTTATTTTGAAAGTAAAACTATCATGAGTTAGATTACCATTGACAATCAAAAAGTGAATGGGAATAATTTGATAATTTAATAACAATGGATTGTTTTCAAATTGAAATTTTGTCAATTTACTTATAATCAGTAAAATCACGTAGTCTAATGATACTGGAAAACTTTCAAAACCAGGATAACCAGGATAACCAGGAAAATGTGAGTTGTGTTGAAATGATCATAAAATACAAAAGGTTATCCTGGTATTTGAGGGTTTGTGTATAAATTTTGTTTTTTCAGTTTTTTATGAAATCCTCTCGACCAATTCATTACTAAGCCATTAAGTTGATCAACATAATAGAAAGTAAAAGGCTTTTAAATGCACAACTCAATGATTTCATAAAGTAAGGAGTTGAGCCATTTCTAGTCAACTGAGCTTGTGATATGAATACAAGGGGCTAATATTATCACTGGTTCAGTCAAATTTCATTGAGAATTGGTTGAAACGTTATTTGAGTTTGAATTATCTATTAATAACTTTTATCAAGTGATAACTTACTGAAATTTTTCTTATATTTTTCATTCTTGACTAGCCGTTACCCGGAATTGGATGTCCACGCTGCTTATCAGGAAATAAAGATCTACCTGCTTTGAGAATTTATCACTTACATTACACCATGCATGAACATATCCAAGGTTCAACTACTTCTCGACCATTTAATGAGGTTAGTTTATCTAGCAAAATGTTTTTATTCCTTATTTATTCCATCTATTCTCAGATTCATGCTGCACAATTTTAATTTTCATTTTTGAGGTTAATGAAAACATTGCTCGGTGCAACACCGGTGAAACTATCAATGATTATCGATTTGGAGTTTATAAAGCACTATACATACAGACTAAGAGTCGAAGTCGCCTGAAGTCGATATGCATAGTTTATTCGCTTTGACTATTCTTTTCATATTCGAGGTTAGCTTTACATAACTTGGAAAGCGAAACTTGGTAATTAAGCGACGAAAAACGCACGAATTTTTCATTAAATTCGTTTTTCAATGAATAATAAATTATCATCAATGAATCAGCGTGGAATTATATGACAGTATTTACATTAAAATATTAATATTAGAATCATGACTCGAATAAAGAGCTGTATATCTACATTTTGCATCTGACTGCTAAGGGCACAAAAGTCAAGAATAGTTTGTTGAAATAACTCAATCAACATTTTCAATCGGCTCTTCACCTTGTTGTCTTTTCCATGTGAAATTTTCGTTGGCATTTGAAGCATCATGCATCTGTTTAATCTTTGAGTAAGCAAATGGGGCTATGAATCCCAATAAAGCACCGACAAACACAAACATCATTATTATACCAAAAGCACCTGATCCCGATGTCCCTTTATTCACTTCAGATGAACTGGACTCTTTTCGTTGCTTTCCATTCGATTCTTTCAACTCATAATTGGAACAATGACCTCCATCAGTGGTTTTTGTATTAGGACTTTTAACGTTAATTTGGTTTCAGTCAGCATCACATCTGATACTATTTTTAGGACAGTAATTGAAAGATTTACATCCAGTTTCCTCGCCATCAGATAACTCATAGCACAATGAAGCACAGGACTTTTAACGTTAATTTGGTTTCAGTCAGCATCACATCTGATACTATTTTGCTGCCTGTTCTTTGATATCTCTCAGATACTTTGCCTGAATGGATTAAGAAAAAGGAGGAAATAAGATGAATTTGAGATTTGGTACTGGCGTTACTTATAAGAATACTTACGAGTATATATCATGCATTCCTGATCATATTCAGTAGCTGCATCTGTATACAATAAATCACCAAAACTGCAAAAACCATCACAATATTGAAAAGATATACATTCGGATGAGGCATGACAAGATTCTGCACAAGAATGGACATAATCTTTTTCAACTGCAGTTGAAAGCTGAGTTATGAATTTTCTGTTGGATTTTCTTGAATAATTGTCGAGAACACTTATAGAATAAATTTCACATTTGGGGTCAGTTTCAATCGACTGATCCCCATTAACAATGTCAGTAGTCTGCAAACTGCTTACTCTACAATGAATTTTACCATCAGTGTTGCAGAATGAAAAAGTAACACATGGAACTTGATCTGACTCATGACAGTTTCGGTAACAATCAGCAAAAGTTTTTACTTCTGGTACAGTCAGAGTGGATTGGTCATCGATTTTCATTATTAGTTATAAGTTACATCGAAATTTTCATGTATTACATGTAGTCAGCTAATGCTCACTAGCTACTGTATCTAAATACAGCATCAATGAAACAAAAGATAGGAAAAGATTTTGCCGTAAATAATTTTTAATTGAATTTAGTTAATGTATTTGAGAATGAATTCAATCAACATTGTCAAGGGGCTCCTCATCATGTTGTCTTCTCCACGTGAAATCTTTATTGGTCATTGGAGTATCATACATCTTCTTAATTCTTGAGTAAGCAAATGGGGCTATGAATCCCAATAAAGCACCAACAAACAGGAACAGCATTACTATGCCAAAAGCACCTGATCCCGTCGTCCCTTTAACCACTTCAAATGAACTGGACTCTTTTCGTTTCTTCCCATTCGAATCTTTTAACTCATAATTGGAACAATGACCTCCATCAGTGGTTTTTGTATCAGGGTTTTCAACTGAAAAATGAGTCAATGAACAAGAACTTTCTGTTCTACTCTTAGGACAGTAATTAAATGATTTACATCCAGTTTCATCGCCATCAGATAACAGAAAGCATAATGAAGCACATTGATCTAAGGTTAATTTGGTTTCAGTCATCATCACATCTGATATTATTTTTTTGCCTGTTTTTTTAAACATTTCAGTTATTTTGGCTAAATGAATCACACAAAGAGAAAAAAATAAGATACATTTAAGCTCTGTTTCTTGGGTTACCTGTAAGAATACTTACGAGAATATATCACGCATTCTTCATCATATTCAGTAGCTTCATCTGTATACAATAAATCACCAAAACTGCAAAAACCATCACAATATTGAAAAGATAAACATTCTGATGAGGTGTGACAGGCCTCTGCACAGGAATACACAGAATTTTTTTCAATCGCAATTGACATTTGAGCCTTGATTTTCCTATTGGATATTTTGAAATAATTGTCGAGAATACTTATTGAATAAATTCCACATTTCGGGTCAGTTTCAATTGATTGATCCCGAGTAGCAATTTCAGAAGCCTGCAAACTGCTTACTCTACAGTCAATTTTACCATCAGTGTTGCAGAATGAAAAAGTAACGCATGCAACTTGATCTGAATCATGACAGTTTCGGTAACAATCAGCAAAAGTTTTTGCATCTGGTACAGACTCAGTGAACATACCATCAATTAGCAACTTTGCATGAGGTCTGATTAGAGAGGTAATATCGTCCTTCGAATCAATTTCTTTTTTAGTCACGTCGATTACATCAATAATCTTCAAATGCATAGCTTTTGAGACAATAATAAGAATAATTATCAGTTTCATAAAATTAACAGGTGAGAAGTACTTACGAAATTCTCCAAATGTCCTACCAACATCTTGCAAGTATGCTTCATGAAGCTGGTCAAGAGTTAGCTCTTGTTTAACTCGGTGCAAATTGTTCAGTGGAAATAAATAGACACTGCATGATTCTCCTTGTTTAAGATCTATCTTAAGATCATCAGGATTACTCAAGTATCCACAGACACCATCCGAAGATCTATAAATGACAGCCCTAATGAAGAGATGAGTGAAGAGGAAAACAGTTGTTATTTATAAGTTACATAGAAATGTTCATGTAGCCAAAAATGAATATATACTTGATTGTCAGCTGATACTGTGATAATTTTTCTAGGCAATCGGGTTCATTATTAGCGATAATCTTCATCATCTTGGTGAATGTCTCTTGACTCAGCGACATGGAGACAGAGTTGAAAATGACTGGAAAGGAAAAGAAAGTTTAACTACTGAGCTCAATCGCACTCAAGCGAGGTCAAAATTTAGCAGTTAACTTACATTCCAAATGTGGTAGATCGAGAAATGTCACTTCCATTTCGACTTTTGTATCGGTGAAGCGATATTGAATATCGCCTATTCGCAGTATACTGACTGGTTGAACTAAAAGGACAAAATAAAGGAACTCTCCTTTCAACCAGTAAACATTATCCTCTATGTGTTTGATGCAAGCATTGTGATCAGAAGCTAGAAAAGCAAATACGCTATGATTAGTATTATTTCAACATTATTATTACTTGTTTCATCTCATGCAATCGTTAATTGTAAAGCTTTTCACAATTAATAGTTGCATACTGAATAAGTCTGCATTTGACATAAAGGGAGTCTAATAATTAGTGGAACTGAACATATAACACATTTTCTAGAAAAATTGATTGCTTAACCGGTAAATATTTTTAAAAGTCTTTATAAGACATTACATACAAGGTTTTTATGAATTTTCAAAAATTTTGATCGAATACTTCCCATCAAATTAAGTCCAGATCACTAGCTACTTTTTTCGGTAGTTTCACCCAATTTTTTCTAGAATCAGAGATATTCGAAGCTAGATTTTTTTGCTAGACTTATTCAGTATAACATCATACTCAAGACCTCTCAATAGACCCAGCCTGTCGAAAATTCTGACAGTTTTCGTCTTCTCTAACGAATTTGAGGCCATTTTCTGCAAACCAGTAAAGAAAAGTAAAAATTAACATTGAGTAATGCACTTTATTTTCCATAGGGTGAAATTACTCTTTTTGAGATTGCATTGCGTTTGACCTTATTTCGCCTGTTTGATTACCGAAATGAAATCTACTTTTGGTATTAAATTAATCAAAAAGGTGCTATCTTTCACTTTCTATCAAAATCTTTTTAGTATCCCTACAAATAAACCTTTATTTTTACGTTTGAATTGAGTTCCACTAATTCTTAGACACCCTTTATTTATCTGAAATTATAAGCTAATATAATACAATGTAATATACGATCCGAAATAACTATTGATAACATTCGAGACAATATAAACTTTCAACTACCTGTGTTGAAGTTTATGCTGTCTTCGAATGTTGTTTTCGTTAAACTTCAATGCAGCAAGTCGAAAGTTTAATGAAATGAAATGAAAATTTTGAATTTACAATTGAATCTCTGCCAAATTTCCGTGGCAAAATTTGATTACTTTAAAATTGCTTATCAATACATACCATCACACTCTAATATGAAGTTAAGGATCACTTTTTCATCGCTAGAAGCGTAATTGACTTTTTCTGTTAATGAACGAATACTCTCGATGGATCGAACCTCTTGAAAGTTCATGTAATCTCTTGTGATTCCGTCCTTCCAAGTGTAAACTTTTTTCTATTCAAAGACAAGGTATAAAGTTTAATTTTAATATTTTGAGAATAATGAAAATCGAAATTAATATTTACCGATTGATCATGATCATAGATGGACACTTTGGTACTGACAAGAGTATAGCCATAAAATATGTCATTGTTTTCCTTAAAACCGCCATTTAGATGGAAATTCAAATAGAAATTAGAATAAGTATTGAATTTATCATTAAAAAGCATAAAACTGACTCTTGTCGGGACAAATCCTTCTTTAATTTCGATAACAAATTTGGCTGTTCAATTGAAATAACTTACCGATGGAGCAAAATATTGAGTAATGACAGCTTTATCCACCTTCTTTCCGTTGATATTGGCATTGAGTTGAACTGATTCCCATGCTTCAACAGAGAGTCCAGAGCGATGCTTCTAAAAGATTTCAATAAAAATTCAAGTATTTTATTTCAAGTTCATTTTCTATTATTGCTATTCAAGTTGTAAAGTTTGATGTTATAAAATAATACATTTGTTTGGTTCTTATAAACTACTGACGAATGAATCCAAAAGATTTATTGACTGGCGAGCAATATCAGATAAATTCATGCCTCTCAGAGTCTATCGAGAAGAGAATACCCTAAAAATGGTGCAACTTGGTGCAACTTTTGAATTTCCGTGCTAATTCAATTATGGTTATTTATCATACAAAACAAACTCGAATTCAATAAATTTTTCGTCATTTACTTACCAAGTTGCGCTTCCCAAGATATTTAAAGCTACCATCGAGCATGAAAAGAGTAGTCAAAGTGAATTCTCCATGAGATTCGATTCCAGGCGTACTCGAGTCGATGGATGTCACAGTAACGGATCCATCCTTTGAAATATGAAAAGAAACTCCGAGTCGATAGTCGTAAATAACTTCGCTTACTGAACCAACCAATGTTTTTATCCTCGAAAAATCGTAATGATATGCAGCATAAATCTAACAACAAAAATGAATTGAATAACGAATGACAAATAAAAATAAAACGCAGTGCAAAAGTATTGGGAATCCAGCATTCACAGAATTTAGCTTCGAAATAAAAGATCATTAGAAATTTGTGTTTGTACTCAAAACCCTAATAAATACAATAAAATCGTCGCAATTCATAAATATTAGTAGTGCAATGAATTTTCCACATAATTTTTTCAATACCAATTTTGGGTCAGGTGAACTAACCTCACTAAGTGATCGAGACGCAGTTGAACCTTTGATTCGTTCCTCCATGATGTAGTGCAAGTGATTAACACTTAACTCTGGCAATTCTTTGCTTCCAGATAAGTAATGTGGACATCCGATTCCAGTTGGAGGCTAGTCAAGAGATAAACAATGAATTTTAGCATGCATCAAGTTTTCGTTTAGAAAAGTGTATTTAAAAGAAGGAAATATTTCGTTTAAGAAATAATATTTATATTCAACCGATACTTACTTGAACCTCATTCTGGACTTGATCTAAGTCTTCAAGGAAAATATTTACATGTTGAATAGAATAGATATCTATATATAGAATGAGATTCTCTTCTGACTCTGGAATTGAAGCTCTTTCATAACCACTGAATTCAATTCTGCTGGGACTTTCCATTCCAGATTGGTAATCGAGATGACCTGAGTTTAAAAAAAGAGTGAAAATCTTCTCATTATAATCAATTAATCGTTAAATTATTTCGTATCGAATTACTTTTGTAGTAGAAAGTAATTTTCAAATTTTCATTAACTTCTGTTGATGCCCCTTTCATCATGATTCCTCTGATGTTTTTATCTGCAACCGATTTCTATAAACAAAAAATAGAATTGATAAATATATTTGAAAAAAATAAAGCAAACAGAATAGTTACCCAAACAAACGACGAATGATCAAGTCTGTATAATATCGAAGGTCCTATCAAGAGAATTATGTTGAGTATGGGTTTCTTAACGCCAGATAAATATTTATCCCAACTGCTGTAAGTGTAAGTGAACAGTTCACAATTTGTACCTTTGGATAGGGAATTAAAAGTAGTTATAATCAAAAAATTGACTCAACTGGAACAATAGACTCGAGAAAAAAGATGTTCATTTCATCGGTATCAATTATTGAGAAACCAATCGCAAGAATCTGTTTACACTTTCTTTTGCATTCCATCGATCAGGGAAATCAAAAAAAAACTTTAACATTCTCACCTTGAATAACCAATCGTTCCCTACCGTCCACACCAGTATAAGAATCAGCATTATAATGTATTGTGTAGGAATCCGTATCACTTGAGATCAAAATTTTACCTTTAGTGGTTGGACCAAAAGCTGATATCAACTCTTGTAAATAATACTTCTTAAATTCATTCTAAGAGATGAAATTAAAAGTTAGATTGATCAACAACTATTTAATCATTCAACTTACGGTATATCCATGATAAGTTAAAGTAGCATTAATCACTGAACTTCCTTTAGGCACTTTCAATGGCAAGTCCACCAAATTACTGACTGTGTTAATTATGAAATAAATATTAGGTTAAGACGATTAAATTTTAATTTCAATTCTTACGTGTTGATATTGTTGAGTACAATGTAAAAACAATTAAAACTTTGAATAACATTGTAATGGAGATTCAATTGAGAAATAAATAGAAACACAGATAATTGCAACTATTTGTTTCCAATTGCTGTTGCTGAACATTTGCAAATGAATTAACGGTTTATTAAATAGTCTTTTATACTTTTCAATAATATTGTATGCAAAGTAGAGACACCTTACACAGAAAAAAATTAATAGAAGTTAAAAATATTAGACTTATGATAAACAGTTGATTCGTTTTATAATTGATGAAATTAAACAAAATATTAGGAAACTGAAAATATTGTATCTAATTACTTGGTTAAATGAAATAAAAAAATTGAAAAACCTCTAAATGAACAGATTAGATACTATTTTATCGTTACCAGCATCTTGGATTTCGTTGAAATTCAGGTTAGTAGTTAGAATCAGCAAATGTATTGTCTATTTTTATGGATAAAACCATGCACAAGCTCTCATTTTTTGATCACATTCGGCTTATACATTCTCAGGTTAGTGTGTGCGAACGATGTTACTGTTATGAAGTGTCCAGATTTTGACCTTAATCCAATAGAGAACCTTTGAGGATGACTTGCACAAAAATTTATGAAAATGACCATTAATATCGAAAATTCTCGAATCGGTCACGAATCCCAGTCGAGTGGCTCAAACTTAATAAATATAAGTATGTAGATTATCGAAGAACTCAAAGGCTTACAAAAAAACTTTTGATTTGACATTTGAGGCTAATATACACAAGCGAGCAGAGAAACTGTCACTTCATTTTTTGATCATAAACTCGTAATTATAAGGAATTGAACTTTGATATTTAATTAATTAGTTGAACGAATAATGAAAAAATAATTATATTAAAAATTTAATATGAAATATGATCACCATTGGCCAGTAAACAAGAATTAATTCTCCTTGGCATTAAATCCACTAATGAAGTTAGATATTCCTATGGACGATTTTGCACAATTCGACCGAGACGCCGCCTATCGGCAGCATGTAAAGTAGGAGATTGTCCAGATTCAGGCTTTCTATTGATTGACTGACCAGTTTTTAATCGCTTTTAACTCGTAAAATGGTTCTTGGACTAACATGCGTCAATTCAGCACAATTTTTGAATTATTTGAAATATTTTTCACCACAAAACAAACTTCACTTCTTTTCCTCTCATTTTCACTCGAAGGGTACATTTTTAACACATTTTTTTATGAAAATTAATCATATTAGCCCGCCTCAAGTACATTAATATAATCCTTAATGATCCAATATCAAGATAAAAAAATTAGATCAAAAATATCAAATCATTGAGAAAAGATATTACAATTCAAAGTAAAAATTGTGAAGTGACAGTTTCTCTGCTCGCTTGTGTAGCTCCATATCATAGCTCCATTACTCGATCTCCGCGACTAATGCTATGTCTTATAATATTGGTCACTTGTACTGGGCCTGCCATGAAACAGAAAGCATTTTAATAGATGTAATCAATTTTAAGAATAGATATTGCATGGAAATTGATCAATTATGATTACGCTATGAATTCCTCGGAAGTGATAAATAAAACAGCAAGCTTTGATAAATAACAAAACTAAAATATCGCATGATCAGATAATTCATAGTTGCATGTAAGCTAATTACAATTGGAATAAGCTTTTTTTCTCAGAAAATAGTGCAAAATTAGCAAGGTTTTTCAAATGAACAGAAAACGATAATTGATTATTCAATTTTAACCAAACTTTATTGGATACAATGCATCAACTGACTGACTATAATCTTAATATCTCATTTCCATCTTTATTCTTCTCAATTAAAAACAATTGCAATTATCCTGCAAAAGCTAATTAACGGAATTTTTTCCACCACAGAGTTTATTAACAATGACAGATCCCAATGGATCTAAAGCCATTGACCAAAGCAATCGTTTTGTTTTTGTATGGTTGGTAGGATTTTTACTTTAGTAGTTTTACATCGCCCTTGATTTATTCAATGTTTCTTTCAAAATAACAATGAATATGCTGTGATTTTAAATTTGAAGTTAAGTAACTTATTTTCTGAAATTGTCATGATGGAAGGGAAAATGATCATATTTTGAGTATTTCCCAATTTGCTTATGCTATGAGAGCTGAAAGGGATTTTAAAGTTGATGCTGTTGCTTGCTAAGCGTTTTGGATACAAAAAGTTGCATAAAAAGGCTTTTAGATTGACTAACTTTTTAGATACCAATTTACGTTGAAATAATGAAATTTGATTATCTTGGAGAAACTTTAAACATGAATTCAAGATTAAATATACATGGAAATTAAGAATCGATGATATTTATTTTTTCTGTAAATAATTGGTTTTCCTCCATCTAAAGTAATTAATTTGCCAAAGCTCATCAAGCAAAGTTCAATGGGTGATTGGGATATTATTAATAATAAATAAAGATGGAAATCATTATTGAAAAGATTTGTAATTGAATGTAATAATCAAAGTAAACTTAATAATATATTTGAAAATTAATGAATACAATGAGTTCTATTGATGTTGACGAAATTTCAATTGACTGTGATTGCGTTGACTGGTTTACTGTTGGCACTTCGAACCATTTTACTTTCACTCTTTTTAGCCAACCTTCGATCCAGCAATAAAGTCTCATTGAGAAGGCAAAGTTGCTTTAAAAATCCCTCATTCGGAATTATATCTCGTTCTCGACGAACTGTCCTAACCGCCTCTTGAACAGTGAAGTCTCTTTTAATCATTAAATAAGCCAAAACCAAAGTCGCTGAACGAGAAATTCCTTGGCGACAATGAACATAAACTTTACCTGTGAAACAAAAAGAGAAAAAATTGAAATTAATTTGATAAATGACATAATCTAATTAAAATCTCACCTCCAGTGATGATCGCTTTATCAATGAAATCAGCAGCAGCTTCAAAGTGTGGTGACAGTAGAAAGGTTGACATGTCCAAGGCTTCAATTCCCATGAACTCTATTCCAGCATCGCGATAAAAAGATTCATTGGTATTCACCAAATTAAGTGATCTACTTTTACCCCAAGCAGCATTCAAAACATGAGTAATTCCCAGTCGTCGGAGTAGCGAAGTACATAAAGCTGTTGTTCTGTAAATGATTTAAAATTGGGAAAAGTTAATAATTGCTATCAATAACTTGATTCTTAAGGATTCATCTAGATTTAGGTGTTCTTCAAGTTCACCAGAATAATGAGGTTACCATGTAATAATGAGATTGAAAAAACTGGGCACAATTATGTGTTTACAGATAGGTTGCCAGAAATTTTTTTACATAAATTCATTAAGATCTTTAGTTTTTACTCGAAACATAACTTGTTCAGTTAATTACAGCACTTGTTTGATGCAATTAAACTCCTACGTTAAGGGTTAAAGTTGCGTTTTTCATTATCTAAGTTAAAGGCAAACAATGAAGGCTATAAATAACAAACTAGATTGAACTGAAGCATGAATTGAAGCTCATTACAATTTCATCTTCTAAAGTTAAATTCATCAAAATTAACATTTACCTTGACACTGACAATTTGTTGGATCAACAAGTTTAGATTATTTTTACTGTATTGAGTTACAAATCCAAGTCACAGTTATTTGTTCAAGATGACAATGAAACAGAAACAAAAACAATTGCCGAAAATGTTGGTTTAAATCAAGATTAAAATTAGATTCGCTTTGGCGATTAATCAAAATCCTAATTGTACTCAGATAGACTTGAGCCTTGAACCCTTGAAATTTATAAGAATCAACAAATTAGAAGTACGAAGAAGCAAAAACAAGAAAATTGATCAATTTTAAAGTTCAGATTAGTGTTTATTAGAAATGAACAAATCAGGCGATTGCTTGGTACAATAATATTGGATTATCGATGGAAACATAATCAATTGTCGGTTAATCGTAATTTTTATTGAATTTGTGCTGATTCCAGCTAGAAAAACATTCTTGATTTTGTTTACAAAAAAATGTGAAACTGTTTACTGAGGCAAAAAATTCAGTTTGATTGATGTAATAATAAACAGTGTTGAAAAGTTGTAACTTTGAACTTGAAATGATTTAGAGTTAGCAACAAGAAATGAATTGCTGAGTTCCTTCATCGACTTTGCTGAAATACCGAAAAAAGTGATTCTAATCAAGTTGACAGCAACAAGTTGATTTGAAAAATTGAAACTAAAACCTCTAATTGTGTAAAAAGATGCTGAATCGGGCAAAGATTTACATTTGCCAAAAGACAAGTTGATTAATCAGCAAATTACAAAATCTATTGAAGTAAACTATTGTTAGACTATTCAATTTGAAAAACAAAAAGCAATTGAAATCTGAGATAGATTTCAATTACTGGTAACAATCAGTAATCTGGAGGTTGAGGTTGAGGCCTCAACACTGAATTGGTAAAGTTATTTTAAAACATTATACTGTTCACAGTTAATCTAATTTTATTTGTGGATTTTTACTTGAAAAGCCTGTAATGACCTAGAAAAAGGTGTCTAACTTACGAGATTCATGTTCCTTGATTCATTGAGCATTTAGTTTTCCCTGAAATTCATGGTAATCTATGTCAACAGTATCATTAGTTGTGCCTTAGTAGGTTAATATTGTCAACCAAAATTTACCAGTTTAACCCAATTAAGAAATTGAAAAAAGGCATTTTTTCTGTAAAACAGATTACAATTAAACACTTCTGCTTTTCCAACCTAACCAAAGGTTAATTATAATATCAACTTTAAATTGTCACAATCAGTAAATAACGTTTAAATTTTTTTCATGACTATAATAACAATCGAAAAATAAAGTAAAAAGGAAATTGATTTGAAATATTGAGTCAAAATCATGAGCCATTTTCAATGGAATCAGATTGAATTTGGTTAAATAATGTTTTAAAGGAAGAATCAATTGTTTATGTAATCAAATTGTATTATAAAGAAGTGATTAATAATGGAAATCATTAAAAGTTCAGATGCGTGATTCTATTGATCAACTGGTAAATTAAATGTAGGTTTCAATCAATCAGTTTATATATTTTGTTGATTCTTATAATTAATAGACGTTTTGAGAAACAAGTGAACCTAACTAAACAGGTTTGTCATATTGGTAAAAGTGAGATGATCAACAATAGTAAAATACAATTCTGTCTTAATTAACCTTCAATTTTGTTTTGATCATTACCAAACTGACAACAAAATGGCAATGAAGTAACGGTTGGTGATGCTGACCCAAGCGATTCAAAAGCGTCAATTTACGTGTATTGGGTACTCGTTATTCATGGCGAAACTGTTATCTATGGGTTAGTAAGGCTGAAGGGATCGGGTGAAAATTGGGTGCGATGATTCAATTAATTACCCATCTCCAACATAGATGTTTGGAAAGACTTCATTGTATGGATCAGTTGGTACAGTATAATAGCCTCCATTAGGTGCGGTAATAATGTCGCTCAGCTCATCAGGTGAACAAGATGGAGTGCTAACTTTCCACCAGCTTAATGATGACATGTTTATAAATTGTCTTTAGAATCACAAACGGAAAGTGATTGTAATTAAATTTGAGCCACACACAAAATAGAAATTAAGGAATACGATGATGAACAATTAACCTACAAAGCAAACAATAACGGTAATGGCAATGACAATAATAACAATTGATTCAGTTTAAAGTTGCAAATTTGAGAAGAAAATTGTTTTCTTTTTTTTCAAATTTAAATATAAAGTAAAATATACAGCAAATTGGTAGTTAGAGGGTTTACAGAATGGCAAAAATAAAAGATTGTTGTTTGTGCCAGTGAAAGCTATTTAGCAGTTGTGATGAAAATTAAAGGTGATGGTTTAAATGATGCACGAGAAACGTTTCTTTATGCTGTCAGAACAAAACTCTGAGAAAATCAACTGAACATCTAATATCAAGTGTAATCCGGTTTAAGATGCTGCGTGATGAAGTATTTCTCATCATGTTTATTCTGTTCCCTCGCATTTTTTGCTCAAACTTCATTTATTATGAGAGAGAAGAAGTGAGAAATGAATATGTCTATGATTTAATCACAAAGAATTTTCTTTGCCCCTGATTCTAGTTCAGTGCTGTAACTCTGCTCATGAATTCATAAAATTGTTCCATCCTTTTTATCATTTTTCCTCGACATCATTTGGTTCGTAAAGATCTTTATCATCAAACTTTGAGCTCGTTTCAGTTTTGCTTATAACCATTAACCATTGTAAGAAACTCGATTAAAAAAGCAACAATTGAAGTAGATTATACATTCAGATTTCCGTTGCGATTTTCGAAGAATTGTTTATCCTCTCTTTAAATTGATTTTTCAAAAAAATTCAGCATTCTATTGCTCTATAATTCGTTTTGGCAGATTACTTGAAGAAGGTGGATTTACTTCTGTTTTGTTTTCCAACCCTTTGCTCTGGAATTTTTCTTCTTTGCATTTTGGTAAACAGATTGTGACAGGAAAAGGCAATGAAAATTTTAGCTGTTGATGTACAGGATTTTTTGGTGGAATGTTCCCGCCATTGTTAATGTCACTGAACAAGTTTGACAGTAAATAAACCAGTATTGATTGATTCATCGTCTGTAGTTTGTTGTTGAAACTCATAGCCAAATATTCCAGTAAATTTCACAAATAATAGAAAAAATGGCAATATTGCAACACAGAATACAGAAATAACAAACGACGAAGAATCAGGATCATGAGACCTTTTCAACAAATTGGTGATGAGTTTGAAACTTTTAACGTTGGAGTTTGATCATGCTTTTTTCCAGGGTCAGACTTATCCTTTATTTTGAATATTGTTTGTACCAAGATAGGCTTTTGTATTTTACTGGCTTTGGTATTAAATTGAAGTCGGTTTGATTGATGATCGATTCCCATATGAAAGCAAAACGATCAGATTATGAGGATATAGTTGCACAATTTTTTGACGAAACATAATTCGCATGGTTTAATCAATAAGATTAGTGTTTGACGATCTCATATCAAATGGTCTTCTTCCCGAAGTAAATTCATTGGATGAATACTCAGCTTGACGAGCATAAGTTTCAAGGTAAATGATGGTAGCAATGATCATAATGAGACCAAAAAGTGAGAGAGTAACAATCAAAGGCACACAATAAAAACAGATTTTACGACAACTACACCAATGTGATTTTTGGCCATTTGTTGATATTATAGATGGAGGTTGGTAAAACCGTCTACTGTATCCATCGACTGGATTCAAACTATCCTCTAAATCGAGCCAGTGTTCAGTATAACGCTGAGCTTGAGTATTAGCAATCACAGAATTATTTGATTTATCCATCCAATTTGAAGAATCATCAACATAAAATAAAGATGGGGATTGTTGAGGTAGCTGTTGTTGTGGATAGAGATGTGAATAAGAGGAAGCCGGAATTTTTGAGGATAAGTTCAAACTACTCTCTGAAAAGGCTTCGTTAATGGCTCCATTGGCTTCCCAATAATGACAATCAGATGAAGTGGGTGATTGATGGGCAAGGTGACATGGATGATGCTGAAAATGTATAAACAAAAACAGGTAAACAATAGAGGATCATTAAAGTGGAATCAATTGAAATAATTAGCAAATAAGAGACAAGAAAAAGCAAGAAACTTACCTCAGCTATGAAGGATCGGTTAGATCTGTTGGTACCAAAATAAGCCATGCTTTTAGTAAAGATTGAACTAGAAGGCACTGAGAGAGAGAGAAAGAAGATTTACTTGTTGAAGAAAGAAGAGAAAATGTTGGATCTCGTCTTTGTTTGAATGCAAAGGCTGGTTGGAAACAATGGTCAAAATGAGAAAAAGTTCAAGATAAGAGAAGAAAAGAAAAAGAAAAATAAACAGAAGAAAAGCCTTGAAGAGAAGAAGACAAAAGACAAAGAGGACAATCTTTCTCTTTTTTTAAATCTCTTATCTTTTCACCTTCAAGGTTAACACGGGAAGTCTGGTTGACCAGTTAGTAATCGTGGGAGACAAAGAATAGATAAATCGGGTAAACGAAACTGGTAAACTGGTAATCTGGGTTTTAAAAGAATCTGGTCATTCTTGTTAAAATTGTAATCATTTGGTGTCTATTAACCAACTTTGGTAACCATTTGAAGCCAGTTAAGTGAAGATGACAATTCAAGTTCAATCTCAAGCACTATTTTAGCGACTTCAATTAACTGTTGAAGTTTCTTAATTATATCTTTCAGCTTTAATTGATTAACACTTTTATAATGATGGTAACGATTGGGTTATTTGACAATTCACGGTTTTTAAGACATTACATTTACGTTTGTTTCATTGGATCAAGATGAGCTATCCTTATAATGTGACCAAGTTGATGGTTAACTGGAGTTTGGTGAAAAATTCATTTGATTAGATGGTTAAATTGTTGAAAATAAAACACAAGTGAAACAAATTGAGTGAAAGTGTTCACCAAGATTTGGTTTGAAATGAAAAGGTATAACAAGTCTACTTTTTTGTATGAGAGTTGTAAAACGATTGTATTAATAAGAAGGAGGAGATTAAAATTGTGGTTATTAGTTTGATGATTTAGTTTCAATTGAAGCAAATCAAAAATGATTAGCAGGTATCATTGAAAAGGAAGAGATTTGCTGAAAAAGTTGAATGATAAAAGCAATCAAAATGGTTGCAAATATTGTGAAAGTTTATTCAAAAATCAAATTATATTTAAATAATTTAAAAATCACCATTTAATCCATGAAAAAATGATTCAAATGAAGAAATACAATTAAATTGTGACTGTAAAATTGACTGTTGGTAGACTTAAATTTTCACAATTCATCTGATTGATGAAGATTAATAGTTTGTTATTGATCCTAACCTGAACCTCACCCAGAAAAGTTAATTATTAAACCAACCCAACCAAACAATCAAACAATTAATCCAAAAATATTGATATTCTGGTAAATGACCAGAATTATATTCATTAGCTAATATCTAGAGTAAAGGATAATCAATGGCCAATGGTGATGAGTTAACTAGACAGAGTTGAGCTGATATTTTGGTGCTTCTTGTGTGTTGATTGGAGTTTGATTGTTGAATAAATCACGATTCAGAATCAGGCCATTCAGTTAATCCAACATGATTGGCAGATTGTTTTCATTCCTATTTGTATATCCAGTAATATATCAACACAACTCATGATTCAGATGGGGTTCATCGTAATTTTGGGTGTTAACACCAATTATAATCTAAACTTTCTTTATTTTTCTGGTTTATGTCTTGAGCTTTTCCTGACATCCACCTCAATCCACTTTTAACTTTTCAATATTCATTATTTTTTCACCATTTTATATCAAATATTCACTTTTAAAGTTTCCTTTTTTTCATGTAATCTCAATATTTGATATTTAATATTTGATTTTCTTGCATGATATAAAAAACTTCCGCTCCAAGTTGAATCACATCTATTGATATTAGTGATCGTTTGTTTGATAAATTGTCAACCTAATTTGTAAAAATAGAACGTTTTATTTTGTCTTTTTATTCTGATATTTTCAATGGATTTATTGATTCATTCCCAATTTTAAGGGCCTCTCATGGGCCTCTTATGGATTCATTTCAATTCCAATCAAAGATTTCCTTTTGTTTCCAACCTTTCATCAGTCTTTCCGCCATTCTCAAATTGATCAGTTCAAGAGATAAAACACGTTCATTCAACTCTTTGAGCCTTACTCTGAATTGAGCTTACATTATTCATATACCATTCCAACAATGATTCAACTTGAAATCAAAAAACACACAAAATTTGCAGAATTTGCATTATTTTCCAAACTTTAAAATGATTACAATTTGATTCAGCTCTAGCGCCATTATGAATTATGTGTGACGCATGAGATGATTAAGTTGACTACTGGTCAGAGAAAGTTAATTCTTTGAGTCAAAAACTCACTTGTTGCAAATAGAATACTCAAATTCCATAGCTTTGATTTGCAGACCTTTTTAAATTGAATTGATAAACAAAATTGACAAATTCAATTGAGTTTTGTTTTAGGATCCTAACATTAATTTTACATTTTATGATGCATAGATGGCGACTGTGACAGCTGAAAAATGCGGCAATTCCAGTCAACTGTTATTATCAAAACAAACACAATTTTGGTTTTTAAAAGTTTATTTTTTTCAGCTGTGAAACTGATGAACAATATCAATCTTGTGAAATGGCGACTTCTTCATGTGCCATCAAATATCTGGATCGTGAAACAATATCTGTATAATATATATCTGCTGGTAAAGTAATTCCTAGTCTTGCTAATGTCAAGGAATTGATTGAAAATTATCTTGATGCTCATACTACATTGAAAGCTTAAGCATTTGAAAATTTATGATTATAATTAATGGTTTGAGACCTGTTGAAACATTTGGTTTTAGGTAAGAATTATTTTTCATTTTTCAGCTCATTCAATCGTTCTCATTTTGTCTCTATTTTGACAGGGCGAAGCTTTAACATCCATTGCTGAGTTGTACGAATTATCAATTATAACCAGACATTAATCGAAGTAGCCAGTAACTTTGGGGAACTCACATCAGTCAAGCCATACTCAAACATACCCATGGCAATTTAAATGTTTGAAAAATACATAGTCTGGTCTTGCTGACAGAATCCTGCAGGATTCTGTTAAACCTTTAGCTCCACCAAACACTCAATCAGTCTAAAGTCGATGATCAGTCTAAAACCTTCAATATCCACTTACTCAAATAAAAGACCTCTGAAGGATGATGATGATTCTCCAAATGAGAAGCAGATGAACTTCGTTCTTACAACTCATTTGTCCACACTACTTCACTAAGATGTAGCTAACCAGCTGATTACTACATCTGACACTCACCATTCAAAATTTGAAAAGGATGATAAGGAGGATCAATCAAACCAAACTAGACAAAGAGAACCTCTCATTCCACATGCATCTAAAGACCGACCCAGATATGTTTCAGAGTTTGAAAAAGAAACCAGATCGAATAAAACAATGAATAGTTCTGGGCTGAGGAGTTTATCGAAATTTGCTTTTAGCAAAAACAGAAGAAAAGACCAAAATAATAAGTCAGATCAGATGTCTATCAAAGATATGTTCTCTGCATTACCCAAAATCGATCATCTGATGATCTGAATATCTTTAGCAATCTCTATTGATAATCCAAAATCTCACTTCCACGCTTAGACATAATTTCCATCTACTAATGGAAATAATGTTATGCACTTTCTTCAATTCCCGGTTGCAGTCAAATTCATCAAGGTGTCATATAAGTTGATCTAACAGCGCCAGATTCAACATCATCGTCGTTAGAAGTTGTTTGTGTTCACGTGTGTAAATGCCAAAGACTGGTTGTCTTTCAAAGATGAATGAAATGCTCCTCATGAATTTAAGGCTGTTCTAATTTCGGTTCCCAAAAGCCAAGATGCTGTTTTTGGTAAAACAGAATGCGAAGAAATATTGTCAAGAATGGAAGAAACTGGAAGCGATTGTTGTAACTATAAACCAGAAGAATGGTGCGAACGATTGCATCTAGAGCATGCCGTAAATCGATTATGACCATAAAAGAATGCGAAATGTTCTGAATAATCTTGCAAAATTAAAAAATCCTTGGATTTGTGCTCATGGTCGACCTACAGTTCGATTCCTGTTCAATATAAATGAGATTATCTTGTAACCATTCAAGACTTTAATCCACTATAAAAAAAGATGTAAATTAAGAAATGTTACATCACATGATGTTACGTAGTTGAATACTTTGTTGGTGCTATGTTAAATCGTAAATTGTTGCCACTATGGTTTTATGCTGCTAAATATTTCGGCTCCATTCTATTTGGCAGTAACACATTTTTAAATTGAATGGACTAGTTTTAATTAAAATAACAAAAATTTACTGATTATTTAAACCACATGAGACGGTCGCATGAATCGCTCTTCAGTCTAATCTCTAGTCAATTTAATACAATGATGAAATCAACAAATTCGATCTAGCTGGCCATGATGAATTTGAAAACGTTTAATCTCTTAAAACTTGACCTAAGTGCCTTCTCGACTTATATTTTATCGGGATTTTAACGTCTATTAAACTTGCATATCTAGACTTCGAGCAAGATATTCACTGCTTGAACTTTAATCTGTCAATATTAGCATGTGGAACAAGTTTATGGAAAAAGCAACAAAATCCAATCAAATCATAAAACCCTTTGATGAACTATGTCTTAAAACGTTCGATTATGAATAAAGAAATTAATTATAATTGAATGAAATTTCCTACCAACATTTTGTTTCTGAATTGAAGTAAAAAATCCGCGTAACCAAAAAAAAAAGAAAGAATAGCGACTGAAAAGAGAGATAGAAAGAGAGTGGGAGAGAAAGAGAGCAGGAGAAAGAGAGAGAAAGAGAGGCTTGTAAATGATTTGTCAACTGATTTTGTGAAGGGCGGAAGAAAAGCATGTTACAGCCCTGAGCAATTAAAGATTGATCAGTAATTTGTCACTGTGATTGTTAATTAAATCAATGGTGTATTTTATCTAACGATTTGATTTTCTTTGGATTAAAGTAACTAATATTTATCATTGTATGCAATCAACCAAGAAACCTAACCCAGGCAACCAGTAACCTAAACTCATCAAAAATTGTTGACATCTTTTCTCTCTATTCGCCTTTTTTTGTGATTTCAATTCAACTTCTTTGTTTTAATTGACTCGACATGTCCTCTGGCAATTTTGGTACCGTTAATCCACTTCATTATTCCATCCCTTCAAGTCCTGAAATGACGGAGATCTCAATAGAGGAGCAAAATAATGTAACTGATGTTGTTGTTACCAGTAAGGATAACAATATTTCTTCTCGTCCAGCAACATTGCCTGTCTCATCACCATTTGGCCCTCCTGGATTACCCTCAATGACCTCATCTTATTCATCTAAAAATGGTGTTGACTGTGAAAACGATGGAAGAGTTTCACCTAGCAGCTATCCAGCCGGCTTAACACCTAAAAGTACTCCAATAGGTATTAATGATTTTGCATCTTTTAACTTTGGTTGTCATGCTGTCTCTATATCCATCGTCATCATTCAATCCGTTCAAAGCTGTTCATCATTTCCATCCTACAAATTTATGATACTGATTGTATTCAAATTTTGGTTGAGGAATCTATCAGTTAGGTGACTAAAATAATCGGGCCATTTCTCCATTTTTCCACCATTTGTTTACTCTATTATCCTAAAAGTGTATTTCTATTGCTGATATTCACGCTTGCTTTATTTGCATCCTATGGATAGCTTCACATTCATATCTTGTTCACATTATCATGTTGCTTAGTAATTATGATCTGGTGATAAACTCTTTATTAGGTAGCTGTAAATCGTAAGTCATCAGTCTGATTATTTTGACGTATTTATGGCTTTAAATCTTTTCTTTTGTGTCTGTAAACTTTCTTATTTATCAGCTATACGTTTTTGGTTTAAAAGGTTTCCTTTTTAATTCATGGCTATTTCCTTTTCGAGTCAACTACTTAGATTATACGGTTCGATTTTGCATAAACTGGATGTGAAATTTGCTGATAATCAAACCATTAGCTCATTCTGCAAGTTATATCTATTTCCGCAAACTGGCATTCTCGTTTTCCACTCGCTGTCTCAAACATTATATCCTGCAAGCTGCTTATTTGATTACATTTTTGTTGATGAGACTATCCTTAGTATTTTTTATTCAGACCTTAAGTTGATTTATCAAGACAATAGTGAATGAAGAAATCATTCAAATCATAAAAAACCTCCTTTGCAAATGTTGTTACTGTTGTTGCTAAATGTTTTATTTTAAATTAACTTTTTCGCTCGGTTTCACAACCTCAGTTGAACTGGCATTACTAAGTACCTAAAGTACCGACCGAAAATGACTGCTTTAGACAACATTTTTTGTTACATTTCAGATATTTTGGACTCAAATTCAAACTTGTTTGAAATGTCTTCAGAAGCTTCACTTTTTTCAAATATCAATTCTTCTCTCTCATACAAATTATCTCGTTCAAGTTGTTACAGTATACAATTCAAGAAAAAAGCAATATTAGTTACTTCTAATCCTTTTTCAGTTCTTCTTAATCGATCAGTGTACTAAACATTTGAACATTCGATCATCATTCAAGTTTCCATTGCTCTACTATTTATTTGCTTCACTTATTAACCTTTAACATCAATCTTTCATGATCTTTAGCGAAGATTTGGCACCAAAGATTAATTTTAACAGAGACAGCTGTCCGGTTGAATTTTGATCATCATTTGAATGTTGAATTGGGTGAATATTATTAGAAATTCTGTTTAAGCATTTTTAATCAACTGCACAAGAATGAGACTCCTTTCAGCATGACTGCCCTTAATTGACTTCATTCATTAAAATTAATTTTATTTTTTCTTTCTTTTCCAATAGAAGCTATTAAGGAATGGTCAATAACAACGTTTAAGTGTACTAAGCAACTGGTTAACGAAAAATTAGGAAAATGTCAACGAACGATTGATTCTGGATTGGAAAGTGAAATTGATAAATTAAGAGAAACTCAGAGAAAATATTCTCATATTTTAAGGATCGCCAGAGACATGTCTTCAATGTATTCTTCCCTAGTCCAACAACAGATATTACTTTATGAATCACTGAGTGATTTATCATTGAAAGAACCTAAAGGAGACTCAAAAATAACATCATCATCATCATCATCCACAAGTGCTAGTGCATCAAACGCAAGTGGCAATGTAGGTACAGGAGCAGGAGGAGAAGATGTCAATAATTCATCACCCGTCTTGAACTTGTCAGCAGATTTCCGACAAAATGCAGAGATGTTACGCTTGGTTGCCAAGAATGGTGAAAAGCTAGTCTTGGCTCTTCGCTTTTTTTGTTCTAACCTTTCCACCCTAGTCAATAAAACTATTGATGATACCATAGTTACCATAAGGCAATTTGAACAAGCGAGATTAGAGTATGACGCTGAACGAAATAGTGTGGCAAACCTTTTGCCCGCTCAAGCTGCTGCTGCTAACACGGAAAAACTGATTGCTGCTCGAGCAAAATATGAAAGATTACGGCAAGATGTGTTGATTAAATTAAAATTCTTGGATGAAAACAAGGCTAAAGTGATGCATAAACAATTAATATTGTTCCATAATGCCTTTACGGCCTACGCCTCTGGTAATGCTTCAACGTTGGATTCCACTCTTCGTCAGTTCAGTATTAAGGCAACTCCTCAGTCATGGCTCGAGAAATGATCATGACCATCGATTTATATAAAAGATTACCAGATTAATTGTAAAAATGAGGAATGGACAGATTTGCTCGTTTTCTGCAAGTTAATTTAGACATGAGAAATTATAAAGCTTACAGATGAAACAAGATTCACCGAGAAAAAAATGAGCAAAGTAAAACTATGAACACGCCTAGTGAGTTTGATCTTTTTAAGGTTTAATTACCAGATAATTATCTTTATATGCTAGTGAAATAAGTATTGGATGGACTGCGCAAACAAAATGGTCCGGGCAAATTTCGGAATACATAATTCAATTGTACTTACCACTCTTCCAAATTGAGACAGTAAATTATTAAATTTAAAATTGGATAACGAAAATCTCGGAGAAAATGTTAAATAATAGTTTTTTGCTCGCTTTTACCATTGATGAGAACAGAAATCTTTTATGGATAGACATTTTAGTTTATTTCCTCATTTGTAATCAAATCAATTATGTCATCAACCTTTTACTTCTCGTTCCAATGCTGATCAAAAACTCAACAATTAAGATATGCTTTTATGTAAACAAAGACTGATTTGTTTAAATGTTTATAATTGATACAGAAAAAAACGAACCATGATAACCCTTTAATTATTTACCAAAATATATTAATACAAAAAATAAAACTTTCATTCCAATTATATTTTTTATCAATGGAGAGATTACAATGTGGTTAGATTGAAGGGAGGGCAAGATGACGCTGAAAAAGCTAAAAATTCAAGAAGTTTGTAGGTGAAAAAAATTCATTTGATTAGAGGGTTAAATTGTTGAAAATAAAACTCAAGTGAAACAAATTGAGTGAAAGTGTTCAACAAGATTTGTTTTACAATGAAAAGGTATAACAAGTCTACTTTTTTGTAAGAGAGTTGTAAAACGGTTGTGTTTATAAGAAGGAGGAGATTAAATTGTGGTTATTAGTTTGATGATTTAGTTTCAATTGAAGCAATTGAGTATTATAATTTTAAGTGAGGTTCTCGTATTAAGGTCTTGACATCGAATTTTAAATTTTATAATGCATAGATGGCGACTGTGACAGCTGAAAAATGCGGCAATTCCAGTCAACTGTTCTTATCATAACAAACACAATTTTGGCTTTTAAAAGTTTATTATTTTTTTCAGCTGTGAAACGAATGAATAATATCAATCTTGTGGAATGGCGACTTCACCATGTGCCATCAAGTATTTGGATCGTGAAACAATTGGTAAAATATCTGCTGGTAAGGTAATTCCTAGTCTTGCTAATGTCGTCAAGGAATTGATTGAAAATTCTCTTGATGCTCATGCTACCTACATTGAATTGCGATTCGTTGAATATGGTAAGCAATTGATTGAATTGTCTGATGATGGTTGTGGTATTCAAGAAGATGATTTCCCTCAACTTGCCCTGCCTCATTACACCTCTAAACTCAAGCATTACCGTGATTTGGGATCTGTTAAAACATTTGGTTTCAGGTAAGAGTTGCTTTTTGCTTTTTTCAGCTCATTCAACCTTTTTCATTTTGTCTTTATTTTGACAGAGGTGAAGCCTTAGCATCCATTGCTGAATTGTCCGAATTATCAATTATAACTAGACATGAATCGAAAGAAGTAGCCAGTGAACTGAGTTTCAATAACTTTGGGGAACTCATCGGAGTCAAACCAACAGCAAGACCAGTCGGAACTACTGTGCGAATCAAAAATCTTTTCTACAGCTACCCAGTTCGAAGGAAAGAATTTGAAACTACTTATATGAAACAATTTAATAACATGATGCAATTCATCTGCCCATATGCACTAGGGTTTACAAATCTTCGACTGCTAGTTACTAATTATATAAATGGACGCAAAAATGAAGTTCTTAATATCGAACCAAAATCCATTAAGGATAATATTATTCAATTACTTGGTTGTAAACAGATGAAAACAATTCAAACATTTGTCCAGTGTCCCATTAGAGATGCAGTTGCTTCTGAATACAAGCTGAATAGTTCATATAAAGAAGATGAAAAAGAGATTTCGATTTCTGGTTATGTTTCTCATGGAGATAAAGGACCTAGCAAATTGAAGAAGGTGTATTTTTTCATGAATCGTCGCCCTGCCAATTATCAACCGCTCGAAAAATTTATACTATCGGTTTATAAAGAGATCAACCAGACAATAAACCCATTTGTGTTGTTATTTGTAGATTTGGGTAAACATGAAATTGACTTCAGTGTACATCCAGATAAGAGAACATTTTCGTTGCCAAATGAGAATCTTTTATTCGCCATTCTCAAATCATCTTTATTAACTATGTTTGAAACGAATACAGTTTGCCTGGATTCGGTTAAACCTTCAGCTCTACCAAGTTCTCAATCAGTGGTTAGTCTATGCCCTTCAATACCCAGTTCCTCAAATAAAAGACCTTTGGAGGATGATGATGATTTACCCGAATTAGATGCAGATGAACTTCGCTCTTTAAACTCATTCGTCCATACAACTTCACTCAGATGTAGCTCACCAGCTGATTCCTACATGCGACACTCACCAATCAGCAAACAAAATCAGAATCAAAACCAAGGCGGTACTCCTTTGCGACCTTCAAATACTAGCTTAGACTTGCACACTCAGAACTTAGGTAATTTGCAGTCCGATGAAATGAATTCATTTGAGGAAACTCCGTCTGAGGTTGGTGTTTTCAATCCTGTCCGAAATATACTTAATGAATCTGAAAAGGATGACGAGGAGAATCAATCGTTCCAAACCAGACAAAGAGAACCTCTCATTCCACATGCATCTAAAGACCGGCCAAGATATGTTTCAGAGTTTGAAAAAGAAACCAGATCGAATAAAACAATGAATAGTTCTGGGTTGAGGAGTTTATCGAAATTTGCTTTTAGCAAAAACAGAAGAAAAGACCAAAATAACAAGTCAGATCAAATGTCTATCAAAGATATGTTCTCTACATTGCCCAAAAATCGATCATCTGATGATCTAGATAAAACTAATAACCTCAATTCAGTATCTTTAGAAACATCTACAGATAATCAAAATCCTACTTCCACACCTATGACATCATCTCCATCTGCTAATGGTAATAATGTTATGGCACTTCCTCCAATTCCTGATTGCAGTCAAATTCCTAAAGATGTCATTTCAGTTGATCTAACAGCACCAGAATCAACATCATCGTCGTTAGAAGTTGTTAGTGATCAAAGACTAAATGCAAAGGACCGGAAAAGTCAATCAAAGAAAATTATTACCGACACTCCAATGATTATGATTGATAAAAAAAGAGTAAAATTCTGTACAGAAATTTCTGAAGAGAAACTTGCAGCTTACTATGGTAAAGTAAACGCTCCACCAGTTGCCAAGAGTTCAGTTTTTTTCACAAAATTAACTGATTGCTCAGATCAATCTCAAGCGGAAGATGAGTTGAAGCGACAGATGAGAAAGGAAGCTTTCAGTGCCTTGGATATCATTGGACAATTCAACAAAGCATTCATCATTGGCAAATTAGATGATGATGTCTTTATAATTGATCAACATGCAAGTGATGAACGGTATAATTTTGAAGATTTACTAGAAAATACAAGTTTTGAATCTCAACGCCTAGTTAACCCGATTCCTCTGGGATTGACGTGTTACCAAGAATCAATAGTTGCAAATAATTTAAATACATTTGAAAGGTTGTCTTTTAAAATTGTGATGAACGATAATGCTCCTCCTGGATCGAAAGCCGTTCTGGTTTCTGTCCCTACAAGCCAAGATGCTGTTTTTGGTAAAACAGAAATCGAAGAAATATTGTCAAAAATGGAAGAAACTGGAAGCGATTGTTACAACTATAAACCAGAAAAAATGGTGCGAATGATTGCATCTAGAGCGTGCCGTAAATCAATTATGATCAATGATCCTCTTGACCATAAAAGAATGCGAAATGTTCTGAATAATCTTACAAAATTAAAAAATCCTTGGATCTGTGCACATGGTCGACCTACAGTTCGATTCCTGTTCAATATCAATGAGATTATCTTGTAATCATTTAAGACTTAAATCTAATGTAAAAATTTTTAAATTAAGAAATGTTACATAATATGCTGTTGAATTTAGCTCGAACATCTTTTCCATCGACTTTGCCAAGCAAACATTTAGTTGGATTTTGATTACCAAAGATTAATTTATCACTACAAATCGTTGATCTATTCATTAATTTTTCCACCTCTTAAGATTAAATCCGTTTTTTTACATACTTTTATGATTTTTTCAAGTACCTATCAACATAATTAATTGCTAAGCATTATTAGCATCACTCTTCTATTTTTAGTTCAATATTTCACAAGAATTGCGTTTTAATAAATTGAATCTCGCTCACTATTTTATCATATGCTCTCAAATTTTCACTGCCATCTATGAACTATTCACTATCATAAAGTATGAGTAATTTAAAGAAGCTGATTCAAATATACTTCATAGATTCTTATTTCTCATTAAAAATTTATTTCTAATCATATTTAAAGGTTATTTTACGTGTTAAATTTGAATAAACAATGCGTTTATTGTTTTGTGTTTTTAAATAAAGCTTTAAATTATTAATCTTAGTTATTTCATCGACTTGTTTCATCTGTTTAATCATCTTCATATCTTTTCAACGTTGTCGCCATCTTTTGGCTTTCCTCCCCCTTTTCCCCTAGCTTCAAGCCTTCATTTTATTGTATGTTTGCACTGTAAGGTGAGCCTTGTTTATATTTGTGTACACCGTCAGCAATCGTATTCATTTTATTAAATTTTTTTGTTATTACTTTTAGTTAATCCAGGATCAAAATGGATGATTATGAATGTAGACCCATGGATATATCAGACGATGAAAATGAAAATCAGGTATCTGTTGCTACTACTTCATCAAGGTTCCTTCAATCCGGTCCTATTGGTATTGTTTTTGAAAAGGAAATAGCAGGAATGAGAGAATCGGAAAATTACAATCGAGAGGTCCCTGTTGCATCTACAACAGTACCGTCAGATTCAGTTAAACCAGGGGTTGTTATGCGTTGGTCTTATAAGAAAAATTGGAATAGTGATAATAGTAGCCTAATGCAAGCAAAGATTGACAAATTTAGAAGTAATTTGATGCGTAAGAATATAAGGTCAAGGAATCGTCGATCAAACTCTAGGTCCCCATCACCGCGTGGGAATTATCGTGATAATAGGAAAAAAAGATCGCGAGTTAGTTCGAGCAGCAGCTCAGGATCCAGTTCCAGGTCTAGGTCTAAATCTCCTGACTCAAGACCAAGAAAAGGGTAAGTTTACTCATTTGTTGCCTCATATTGCTATGAGTGAGCATTTTGTGACATATTTTTATTTTTATTTGCCTTATTTAGATCACCACACTCATTCGACGATGAATACATTCCTTTAGTTGACGAGAGGAAGAAACGTCCTTCACTTAAATCAGTTCCTTCATTTGTAGAGCGAAAAAAGAACAAAAAAGAAAAAAATAAGAAAAATAACAACTATTCTAATAATTCACAAAAACCAAACTCATCAATTACCACTCATATGCCACAGATTGATCCTGAGCTAATTGCTCGACGAAAAGCTAGGTTTAATTTAACTAGAAGTTCCCCTGGAGATAATAGTTTTAACGGTGGTCATAAAAATAACATTTGGGATATAGAACAAGGCATCGATTTGGAATCAGCCACCCCAATTATTGGAACATGCCAGGATTTAGAGAAGCAATACTTAAGACTCACATCAACTGCAGACCCTACCACAGTTCGCCCTCAATATGTACTCGAAAGATCTTTGGATATGGTTGTGAAGCACTGGATCATGAACAAAGATTACCACTATGCCTGCGATCAGCTTAAATCTATTCGTCAAGACTTGACCGTGCAAGTTATTCGTAACAGCTTCACGGTTCATGTCTATGAAACCCATGCTAAAATTGCGTTGGAAAAGGTAATTTCGACTTTCAATATATTTTAAAAATTTTTATTAATCTGAATATCATCTTTTTTTTCATTTAAAGGGCGATCCAGAAGAGTTCAACCAGTGTCAAAGTCAACTTCAAATCTTATATGGGGAGGTGCCTAGTGTAAATAGGGCAGAGTTCACTGCATACCTGATATTGTATTTCATTTATTCAGGGAACTTATCAGGTAAGAGTTTATCATATGTCAATGAAATAATTTTATTAAATGTATTTTCTCTACTTTTTAGGTTTGCAGATAGCTATGAGAAATTTAGATTCTTCTAGTAGGTCTAGTGAGGTTATTCAGCACGCTATAAAAGTTCGACAGGCTTGGTCTCTAAGAGACTATCATAATTTTTTCAAATTATATCGATCTGCTCCCGCTATGTCTGGTAAATTGATGGGTTGGTTTGTTGAACGTGAAAGAAAACATGCCTTAAATATCATCGTTAAAGCGTGAGTTAATCTTCAACTTTAATTGAGTTGATTAGTGACTAATTATGTTATTGATTATGTGAAATTTTCGTAAGAGTTCATAATTAGAGCATGTAAGTACCGTAATTAATGACCTTTAAGGGTGGTTGCGATCTCATGGGTTATACTTTTAATTTAAAGTTTATCTGGTAATATCCTTTAAAAATTATTTCTTAAAAAAATACAAAAAAAATCAGTTAAAGTCTATGTGATACAACAAAAAAATCATGATATTTGTCTGGTTATAGTTTGGCTTGCGTTATTCATTGAACCCTTGTTGTAGATCTTTATAGTCATCTTGCATTGGCCAATTCCATTTGCCTTTAAACGAAGTTTTACCTTTAGATTTACCTTTAATTGATGAAGGAGGAGGAGGTAGATGGTTGTATGAAGGATTTTTAGGTCTTCTTCGTCCTTTTTTCCCAGATGCTCCTTTACTACCTTTTGTATTGTAGTTTTGTGTAACTGGGTACATGTAGTCAGGTTCATTTGACTCAAACTCTGGTAGTATTGGTGAAATGGGTTGTTGCTGGTAAGCAGGATAGTTGTGATAAACTGGTCGAGGTCGAGGTCTTTTCCGTTTGGTTCCTGTCAACCCCATTAGTAACAAACTTAATGGGTTCATTTGTTTCTTTTTATGTGAATGCCTTGGTTTGTTTGCAAAATGTTGACCTATGAATGAAAATGGATTTGGTGGAAACAAGCTTATGGGTGGTTGCATTGGCTGTATTGGAGCCATTGGAGCCATTGGAGGCATAATTGGCACTTTACGATTCGAAACCATCGGTGGCCATAACTGTTGCTGTGTTATTTGTAATTGCTGCGTGTTAGTCTGTTGTGTTTTCGTTGGATTGTAACAATCACAAACCATTTGTTCTGGTCGATCAATTGGTTTCACCATCATTGTCATGACCGATCCAGGATTTGGAATAAATGAGCCCAAATTTCCAAATTTTGGTCTCTTTACTCCACTCGACGAAGAATCATTTCCTCCATCAAAATCGTCTTCCTCCGATTGATCTGTTTGACTTTGATAATCATCCTCATGTTGCTGAACTATTGGCACTCCTTTTTGTTGATAACTATCCAGAGCTTCTCGATTACCTCGTATATTTGTTACTTTTGATTTAAATTCATCCAATTCTTTCTCTTTCTTTGCTTTAATCAGTTTTGCCAAATCATCAGGGCCAAAGTCTTTCAAACCCTTAAGTAAATCATTTTTATCTTCACTATCCTTTGATTCACTGCTTATCAGTTCAGTTTCTGTTTTCACTGTAGTTGATGATGATAAAGCTGTTGTTGATGAATCCGTGGATGTTGAAGATGCTGATGCAGATGAAACTCTTAAAATGACGATGAATATGAGCGAATTAACTATTAACTTTTCCATTGATAATCCATTAACCTTGCATTGATTTATAAATGAACACATTTAACAACATTTGAGTTAGCATAAATTTATATTTTCATTTGTTTGAACAATTTAAAAAATTAACTCACCATCATTTGATGACCAACTCTTCATCAGTGATTTTGATGAGTAAAATTGAAATACAAACCGAACTAAAAAAGACTGAGAATAGAAGAAAATGAAAAGCCTTTAATCACAAACCTTGAAATGTTGGCAATATCATCAATGAAAGTTGTCGATGATTTAAATTTTTTGTCAACATTTTCCAGCTTATATTAACTTTATTTATTTCTGCAACAATTGATGAATTTCGTTGAAGATAAAGTTGATTGTTCTTGTGACCCACCAATTAAGATGTTAAACAAATGAAAGGGCGTTAATCCAGTTTTATTTACTTTCTTATCCTCTTTCAATTGAAATGGTGAAAAAGGCAAACAAAAGGGTAAAAGTTGATGGGCATTTATCCAATTAATTGACTTTTATTTTCAATTGAATTACAGTTCCTTGTCTGTAAGTTGATTGTCTTCTAAGAAAGTCAAATAATTTAAAAATTAAGAATCTATTATGATGCTAATTGTGATGCTAATTAAATAAGATTGTCATCCTTGAATCGTTCATTGATTTTTACCTTTTGCCAAACATTCAGTGACAATTTAAATTTTTACAAAATACTCAAAAGGGAGTCTCAATTGTATATTATTTATCATATTTACCCAATTTTTGCTTTTTGTTTCCATCTTTATATGGATTAATATCTTTGTTTGCACCTTCAAACCTTTCCTCTTCTCTCCTTTCACCATCATTTAATCACTGATGATATCATTTTTTTTGGAAGCTGATTGATGAAGAATATCTTGGAAATTCTATTCGTCTGTTGTTAGCTGATATTTTCCCACCCAAATATCGCTCCTTTCCTAATCCGGTCTTTTCATCCCTTATAAAGCTTTTTGTTTCTTTTGTGCACAAATAATGTACATTAATTTATCCGTCAAGAAAAGAAATATAAATAGACTGAACAAAGAAAATTATGTTTCAAGATGATGATGATTATGATGGAAGCATGAAAAAAGCTCAATATGATAACACTTTATCTGAATACCTTTAATCCCCTTCATCAATGTATTAGCTTTCACTCTGTTTTTCATCTCTGTTCATCCATTCAAACTCAAGTCTAATTGTAAATATTGTATCTAATTTTTATTGTCTTTCCTTGACAGTTCTAGTTTTGATAAACTTTATGGGATCGCAACCCTGAGATGGTTTCAAAGGGATAAAAGGTCACAACAGCGAAAAGCAAAACTGTTTAAATCCAACAATCTCAAAGTTAATCAGTATCTTTGAGCTTCAATTGATCTAAATGGTTTAATGTTTTCACTTGACCAATCTGATCAATCTTTCGTTTTCCCAGTTTGTGCATGTACAGTTTTGCTCTTCACTGTAGACTACAAAAATCCCGAATCGAAAAGTTGAATACCTTAAGGTCATTTGCAAATTACTTTTGAAGCAATTTCTTTTAAGGACAATACCAATGATTCTTTATTTTTTTATCTAATTTATCAATCAACAATAATGTTATAAAAATGAGGTATTTCACATGTGAACAAATTAATAATGTTATTACTTTGATTGCATCTAGATTTCGGCCATCAGTTAGTTTAAATTATGTAAAGAATGAACTAGCTTTCGAGGACGCCGATGAGATGCTACAGTTCTTAAACCAATTTGCCATTGTATACCTTGATCCACAAACGATCGACTGCAAGAACAGCCAAGTAACCCCGAGTACTCAATGAAAAAGTCTAATGCAAAATATATTTATGACTTTTTCACGCTACCGGGACTATTTTTTTGTTTTAAAAGGATGAACTTAAAGGCTTCCAAAACTGTGCTCCTTAACTCCAAAACTTAAACTTGGTATTGGTTGAAGGGCATTTACATCACCTAAAGCAGATAGAAGTGTAAAAGCTAAGGCCAATAAGACTGAGCCAATTAAATCACCAAAAGCTGTTAGAAAAGGTAGAGCTGAATTATCTGGATTAAATCCTTTTCTCCATATAAAATGAACCAATGTGTAGGAGACTTGAATCAGTATGGAAACTTGAATAACTGCAGCAATCATATAAACAGTTAAAAATGTACCTGTCATTGTAAAATGATCTCGAACCAATTTTATTACAAAAATAAATAATAAATGACTAGGTATTGATAGTAATAACAAAAATCGAGCCATAATTGTATGATCACCTGTAAAAGAAAAGGTAAGAATTAACTATCAACTGATTGTCATTTATCATAAATAAACTGTTATATTCACAATTAAACTTACTGTCTAAATTGAAGAAGATTCGTCCTGGATAAGTGCAAAGCTCATTATCTGGATCAGGTAACTGTTTCTTGACTGTACGACGGTGAAGATAAGTTGATATGCGACTTGTTTGAACAGCAGCAAGATTACCTCCAACACCTTAATGGAAACAATTAGTCAATTAATAAGTTACCAAATTTAATTTCAACAATAACTGGAAATGAATTAACCTATCCAGTTATCTCAAAAATTGAGCTAATTTATTCAAAAGGCTTAATCTATCAACATTGCTGGCTTTATTGAGATTTACATTTTCAATGAAATGTCAAGAGCAACAAAATGACATTGACTTAACACTTTTGATCTTTCAAATGTTCACAAGCAAGACAGTTGATAAAGCTTTATTAAGCTTTAATCATTGATTACTCCAACAATTGAAATTGCGAAAAATGATGAATAATTTTCACAATTGTTTCCATAACCAACCTGTTTCCTTGGAAAAATTTAATATTCAAAAGTTGAACAAGAAAAAGGTTTTTTCTTGATAAAATATTTCACTCATCTTTTTATCCAAAATAATACAACTGATAAAGACTATTTTACCTTTTATTTGAAAGAAAAAGTAAAACTTTTCCCATCTTGTGACATGATGTGACATGAATTTAAAGGTTAATTCAGTATAATTCTGTCTAAGACCCTGTTCATGGTTAACTCTGAATGAGCAAGACATGAATCATGTTTGTTGATTACAAATAACAATAACATTGTTTACCATTCCTCATGTCTTTACAATTTAATTATCTATTTGTATAAAACAATCTCAATGTGATCAGAATTGGGTAAACAATTTATCTAACATTTCAATGGACATTTACATTGTATTCATAACATTGATTATCTGTATCATGCCAGTCCAAATCAAATTGACTTTTTTGCAATCAATAAAATGAAAATGAAAACAAATTCAAGTGTCAAAATTACTCGGGAAATAATTGTTTTAATTGTGAATCTTTGAAGCTACAGATAAAAATGAATCAGATTGTTGAAGAGAAACAGTTTTTCTCATTAGACCCTGAAGGAAAATGAAACATTTTCATGTGAATAGTCAACATTACTTTGAAATTTGCCTTCAGCTGAAACGAATTGAAGACGAAAAATAAGCTGAATACAATCGAATGTTGAATTCATTTTTTTTCATGATTTGAAGAAGCAAAGAAATGAAGTTATTCCAAAGATATTTCCTGTTAAAGGATGCTAATAATACTTGTGAGTTGAACACGATAAAAACATATGAATAGTTTCAAATCAAAATTGTGTTTGATTATCAGATGAAAATTGTGGCCTGAAATGAACCCTTCAGGACATTTGGAATGTTCATTTCATCTCGTCAAACAGTTTTATGTCTTTTTTCCCAACTAAAATACAAAGCAGTTGAATGGCATTTTTTATTATCAGATTTAATGAAACTAATCTGGTTATCATCAGTTATTATCAAAGGAATTTTTGATGAATAAAGAAGAGAAACTCTTTTATACAAAAATATCATTTCCAAACATTATTCAAGTTTCCCTGGTAAATGTTTTGCTCATGATAATAAGTTGCTTATCGTTAGACTAAGTGATTTACATTATTGTTGATTATGTTGATTTAAATATACTTTTGGTACACTAATGTTAAAAAATAAGATTAATATTAACTCGATTGAAAGGGAGTAATATTTTGAAGAAATAAATATTTTTGTAAAAACCTTTTCTTTAGCATTTCTCCAATTATCCTTTTATCTGGCTAAATAAATGAAGCTTTGATTAATGGCGAAATCGTATGATTCATGAACATGGATCAGTAAATATCAAGCTATAGATTAGTTTAATAACAAGGTGAGTTGTTGATCAGTAAAACCTATTTGATTAATCTAACATCATTTTTACTGGAAACAAGATTAATCACTAATCTGGATCAAGAAGGATCTAATTAGAATCAAAATAACAGAGTTGAGATAATTATTATTCATGGATCAACAATCAAAACATGACATTATAATGACATTAACCTAATGGCGATTGAAATTGAGCTTCATTTTTTGAACCTTTAAAGGCCTTTTAAATCATTACAGGAAAGGCAAATGTAATCCAAGTGATGAATAGTGAGAGAAACGGATCAGGAAATTAACCAATTGACATGATAGTTGAGGTAATGGCTGATGATCAGAGAAACTAAAAATTGAAATTATTCACTTTTGATTTCGTCTATCAGGTGATGGAAAAGTGAAAAATGGTTAGAAGGTAAAATAGGATGAAATTTACTTGAAACCCGAATCAACTTGAATCATTGAATTCTGTCAATCTATTTATAAAATTTTTGCGTCTTCATTGTTAATTGTCTGTAAATTGAGGTCAATCCATTGGCCCATATTTTAAACTAATTGATATAATAATAAGGCTTATACCTAATAAATGTCTGATCGAATCAAGTGCAAACAGAATTGAACATTTTATTGTGAACCAATTTAATTTGACAATTTAATTGATTGGTGTGAACATTGAAAAAAATAACCTCAATTGAATAAACTGAGAAACTCTTCAAGAGATTCTAGTGATTTTATTTAATTTTTTGTCTTCTCTCTCCTTCTTCCCAAACTCATCTTCATCTTGATCATCTAGGATGGTACTAAACGGAGTAAGTATTCAGGTTCATCATGGTTATTTTCAACAGCAACTTGATAACTCTCATCATATTATGTAACCCATTGACTGAAGATCATCACGAGAGTTTTATTATTACTCAAATGGTGAACTTAACTAGGCCAATAATATTTTTAACCCTATCAAGTGGTGAATTCAAAAAATTCATGTCAACTCTGAATCCTTCAACTTTCAATATTTCCTTTTCCTTCCAATAAATCATCAACTTTTTGCTCAATAATAAAACAAATTATCATTTTTCTCCAATCCAATTCTTGGTTCATTGAGTTACAACTTTCGTGTCTTTATTAGTTTATTAGGATTAATTAGCCGTAGGCTTCATGATATTGTTAGATAACAAGTTTACTGAGTTACTTAACCAGTCAATAGGGATGAACTGAGCAGCATTGAAATATAATCAAGGTTAGTGATCAGTCTAGTCAAGAACAATGTTTTTCACTCAATTTCAATGATTACTTTGATATTGAACACTGTTTTATCTTGCATACAAATGATGCTAATTACAGATTAATTGTAAGTAAAGTTAAATAATTCATTATCCTAAGATTTGCATAAAAAGGTGTTAACAAAAAAAGTTTAAATACTTTTCAGAGGTTTCATTATAATAGCTTTAAAACAGGTAAAAATGAGAATAATTTTCTCATCATTTAGTCAAACTTAATAACCATAAATGAAGTCTTTAAAGATATTTAAAGACCAACTTGGATAACCTCAAAGAGCACATCAATGTAAATTGCTTTCATTTGTTATTTTCAAACTGAATCTTAATAGAATAAGAGAATTTCCCTGAAAATCGAAACTTCAAATCCCTAATCGAATGATATAATGTAATTAATGGCTTCCACAAAATAGATTACAACGAAACTTGTTAACAATCATTTATTCTTGAAATACGCAATGGACATTGAATTGTGATTCTAAAGGTTTTTTTTTGGAAAATTAAAGTTGTAGTAAAACAAGACAAATGTTGGGTCAAATGAAGAAATACAATTTATCAGAAAAAGTGAGTTGAAACTATTGATTTATCTGATTATTAATGGGAACTAAACTGAATGGAGATTGGACGAAAATATTTCAATGATTAATGAAGATGTAAATATTTCAATTATGAGTGATAAGTTTTACTGTAAATGCAATCGCTCAAAGCTATTTGAATGTTTCATCAACACCTTTTTAGAAATGAGTTTGATTCAGATTTTCCAACATGATGTTGTTTAACAAAATCACGTTGCTTTTCATGATCTCACTTGTTCTAATCAAATTTTAATTACAGAGTCTTTGTAACATTATCAAGTCCGTAGAACCCTGTTTATCAGTAATGACAATTTTGTTTTGTAAAGCTTTTAGTTTAATTTGATTCTGTTGCTATTTCTGTTTTGGTGATGATGGGTTCATCATTTTACCATGCTGGTGATTCACCGAGAAAAGGTGAACTCGAAAAATTCATATTGAATGGCATAAGCTAATATTGTTAACCTCAGAAATTCAGTTAATCATTCAATCTTGTTTACTGACGAGACTTGAAAGATGAGGAAATGCCCGAGGTTATTTGTTTTATTACTGGTTGATTATCACAAAGTTAAGTACATTGAATATACACAATTGACTGGCCAGAGATGACCGTTAATCAGATTAATAGGGAAAAGAAAATCAAGAGTAAAAGTTAATCAATTGATGAGAAACGTCAGTTCGACTCATTGTTTACACTTGCCTTTAACTGAAATGCATAACTAATTGAACAGGGTAAAAAGAGAACCAAAGGGTTTGATTGATATAAATCATAATATTGCAATATTACGATATTAATCACAATATTACATTTAAACTTTGTTTTGTTCACAATTAGGAAAATGCATTTGCATGGTTGATATCAAATAACGTGTTATAATTCAATTTGTCTAGATAAATAGAGAACCTAATGCTGATCTATTATCAACCGCTTAATCAAGTTATTTTGTTTGATTGACGTTCAATTGATTTATCATTATAATTTATCGAAAATCAACTCATAAAAATCTATGATTCAATTATTCAAGATAAAATTCACCTGGAAATTCATGGAAATATTCAAGGCTAGATTACAGACAAAATTAACCTTGTCTACTTTAACGCAAAAAGGTCAATGAAAGTTAAAAAAGGCAAATTGCAATTCAACTAATATCAATGTAAGGTAAGTAATCATTTCATAACAATTTAACCTTCTAAGTTGAAATACAAGTTTGAAAATTTCCATCTTAATTTGCAAAATATTGAACTAAATCATTTATAAGTTAAGTGAAAAATTGTAATGTTATCAGTTGAAAAAGCTCAGCATTAGACAAACATTTTTGTCAAGTAATAAAGTGGACTTGAATAAGTTATTTATCAGTAACTTACCATTTATTACAGGCTGAAACGCGGCTAATTTTGTAAATTGATCGAGTGAATTTTCCATTATTTTACCACCTGTAATCTGAAGAATCATGGCTCCACAGATTGGAAACCAACCAGTAATCAAAAGTTTTCTAGTAACAGCAAGTTTACGAGCAAACATGACAAGGAAAGGTATAAAAGTCATGATACCGCCAAGAATTACCACTTGAATCCAGGGAATATGAATTATTGAAAACAAAAGGTGACTGATGTAAGCTAAAAGCGCCATTGTGGTTAAATCTCCGAAAGATGCAGCAATTGGAGTCGCAATATTGTCTGGGTTGATTTTAAGATGACGAGAGGCCACAATAACACCACACATGAGGGATCCAAGGAAAAGGTTGGCGATATTAGCAGTTAAAACTGAACCAGCAATCAATAGGATAGCTTCATGGAGAGTTAAATCGGAACCATCAGAAGGCCAAATATATGAGACTGCTAGTGCAAGGAGAGGCGCAAAAAAGCCCACAGTAGATGCTTGCGTTTGAACTAGAGCCATATTACTGGTGATTAACTTTTTTCTTGCCATTTTATCATCAAGATCCCCAAGATTGGCGTGAGTTGATAAACGAGAAGCCAATGTCATCTCAACATTACCTTTAAGTCCTAGTAATGCTGGAACCAGAATGTTCAACTGAGGCACATTTTCAAAAACAGCCCAAGTTTGAACGTGAGCAAATATAACGCCAGTGGCCACATTACCAAAGCCTGCTATTAAACAGGGAATGATTAACTCTCGTAAAGCTTTATAAGGGGATTCATCACGCAGTAGAGTTGATTTTCGTCGCCCTGAATTGTGACTTATTCCGGAAAATGCTGAAAAGGATCGACTTTTACGGTCAGAATCAACAGGTGAAAGGCCACCTCCAGTCGGTGGACACAGTTGATGTGGAGAAGACGATGAGTTATTGTTAGTATCGAGCTCAACCTTAAGGCTTTCTGTTCGTATTTTAACCAGCTCGGTTGATGACCGGTTAATTACATTACTAGGAGTAAACTTTGTTTCACAAATATATGGTATTCGATTATTGTTATTATTATTAGAGTCATTGATGATGTTATTTGCAAATGTAACTGATTGTGCCTCTGTTGGCGTAGCTGATGTCGATATATTAATTTGCTGTTTGTACAAATCTTTTGGGTCCAGTGAAATCATTAAAGAACCATTGCATTTAGGTTGCAACATTATTGGATTATCATAGCAGGTTTTGGCAAAGGAAACAATTGGTTGTTGTTGTTGTTGTTGGGTTGTTGGTGATTCCATTTGTTGAAGATTACAATTTTCACGAGCACAATTCAAATTTGAATGTTTCTCGTTATTATTTTTGGATTGAATCAGATGGTTGCCCTTAATGGTGGTTGATACTGTTGATGTTTTGACTGGTTTTAATGACTTTATCGGTTTACTTTGTAAATTTGAAGTTGGCACAGTTGATGAACAAGGATAATTATTATTGTTATTATTTGAAAGTTGATTGCTAATTGATCGACGACGATCTCCCGATCCATTGGTCAGTTGATTCTCACTAATTGTTAATGAATAGCTGCGAGCACGAAATGGTATACTAGGTAACATATTAACACTGAAAAATGATCAACAGTGTGTATGACTGTGTGTGTACAAATGATGGTGGGACGATGGATAATGTTGATGGTTCGAGTCAGATTTAGGTTACAACCATTTGATCAAGTTTGTCTCTTCATTTGTTTGTCAGTTGAGCGGGATTCAACGGCAAGGCCAATGATTTAATTCTTGGGGTTGGGCTTGATTGTGATAATAATGTTCATGTGGTCTTCATGGGAAGGATCTACAATGAAAAGAAGAAGAAGAAGATAAAAAATTGAAAGTGATGATGATAACACAAAAAAAGTGGAAAGGATGAGGGATGAGAAGAAATGCTTTGCAAGGTTGAACCCGTTGTTATTATAAAAGATGTTGATGATGAATATAATGAGGGAGGTAAAGGGGAGAATTAACTGTTGAAATCAGATGAGATTGTAATTGTGATTATCATCACTTTTGCTTGGCTATATGTCGATCCCAATTTAATATATGGCGTAATTGGAATTCATTTTGTTGATTTGTTGTTACTTGATGTTGTTGGGTGAGTAAATCAATTGGTAAAAATTAAGATTGAAGGTCACAGTCAACAGATTTACAATTAACTTACAATTAAACAACAAACATTGTGTCGGCCTAATTGACACCGTTTCTCACAATGTTATTATCAAACGCAATATCGTTCATTGGTTGATTAACAGGATTAAATGAATAATTATTCACTAAGGTAAAAATTTGTTGGCCAAACATTAAGACTGAATAAGCTTTATCCAAGGGAAAACAGTTAGTTTATTTTATGGATTAGAGAAGCTTTAGATTAACTGTTGGCATTAATAGAGATTTCAATAGCAAATACAATTGATCATCTTTCCAATTTTAATTTATAAATGATTAATTTTTATCGTTTTACGAGAAATTTCATTGATAGTTCATTCATTAGTGAATAACTATAAATAAATACTGAATGAAACACGAAACTAAAATTGGATTGAGCAATTAGTAGTTTGCTAAATCAAATATGTCTATTACCAGTTAAATTAAGGTTTCGAGGTTAGACATATGATTTACAAAATCATAAGTGAAAATTGAAATTCAATCAAATTAAAAATTACTACAAATCTATGAAATAATCCTAATTAATGACACATTTTTAGACATGATATTGAATGGTTTTTGTCATCCAATGATTCCAAGTGCTAAAGTTAGGGGAATGATTTATCCTTCACAGTGATCTAAATGCTTGTAATTATTTATGATCAACATATCAATTGTAATGGACAATAATAACTGAATCAAATCGACTATTTTGAGATTTGAAATAACCTTGAAAATCGATGAGTTATCCAAATTACAGTCTGATTAATTAGATCAAAAGATGAAATTTCAATTGCTACACATTTGTTACATTGAATTTCAGCTGTATAGATAGATAGGATTTATCATCTATGTGCAAGGATAAACGTCGCTTGGTTCTTACAGATATTCCAAGTTGAGAAAGGTTCACATTACATGATAATCGTACCGCTATTAGAAAGTTCAGCATCTGGAAAGAAGAAAATGATTTAATTTTTAGATATTTGATAAGGATAAGATATAAAAGATGTATTTGTATGGATACAAGAAAAGAAAGTAAAATTAAAATTTACGCACATCTCCCTACTTTTCGTCATTCATTCTTTGCAGATAGTTCTGTTGCTGAGAAGCAAGGTCTAAAGTTTCTGTAGAAAGATGAGAAATGATGAAAGTACGAACTACATGATCCAAGATAACATTGATTCAGTGCTGATAACTAATCAGGCTTTAATGTTAAATAGTGAATGTCACGGAGAGTTAATCCCACTAAAGATGATATTAAAGGCGAGTCATTGCCTTTTGCTGTATTGAACTTTGTGTGCATCACCTAGACACTAAGGTCTTTGAACGATCAAGTCATAAAAACAGCTTTCGCAACATTTTTACGATTTTTGCATACAATTTCTTCTAACTCAGTATGTTGCTAAGCGCAGGAAAATTAAATGGTAAAGATGTAGATCCATGCTGGTTCAAGATCAAAATGAAGATCAGATTCTGTCGTGGTTAATCTCTATTAACACGTTTCTTTCATGTTCACCATTTAACTCAACACTAACAGTGTTGGCATATTCATTGCCCTCTGTCGTCAACAGCATTCAACAAGTTTTTTCAATCAACTGAATTTACGCCTTTCTAATTTCCAACTGAGGATTCTACTGTGAGGAACCAATTCTAATGCTGAATTGTTCTGGATACCAATTAGGTTTCTATTCCATACAGTGGAAAGCAATTCTAAAACCATTCCAGCTTGATGGCTAAATTGAAGAAAAAAGATAGCGAAAGAAAGATAAAGAGAATGGATGTTAATTTCAGTTCAAAAAGCAGAAGTTTTGTAACAATATGTTCATTCAATGATATACCTTGGTGATTTAGATCTAAATGATGGGGGGAATCAGAGTGGAACTGAGTGGCAAACGTGTATATTAATGTGATTTACGTGTGTATATCATGTTTGACTATTGACCATCATCATCATCACCACCATCTATGGAACTTGACTTGAGATTTCTTTTCGAGAGGAAAATCCCAATAGGCAAGGTTAATGGGATGTCTGTTGCTTGTTTCAAGAGAGCCTTTTTTTATTTAAGAAATTATTCTTCTTCTCCTGAATTCCTCGAGATGCATGAGATAGAAATAAAGAGATGAGTGAACGTGAATTGTTTTTCTAAATAATAATACAAACCTCTTGTTCGAAGTGAACCATTATTGCTTTTTTGAGTGTTTCATTTTCCATCCATGATTTTCCTCACAGTATCACCTAACACTGGGTGAAAGATGAAAAATTGAATCAATATAAGTAAAAAAAGGTAAAGACATTGAAAGAAATGCAGATGAGTATAAAAGTATAGATGAGTCAAGAATAATGGAGTATAATGAACAATAGATTCCAAATCAAAATGGATGATAGGAACACAAGAATGTAAAATGTATAGTTAATTAAACAACTCACCAAGGTAATTTATCAGCTTGAAAAATAGCAGCAAATTGATTTGAGGAAAGCAAAAGAAATAAAAAATCCAGACTTCATTCCATGAAATTCCACTTGAAAGGATATAACTCCAAGAAAAACAATGCGATCAGAAAATTGAAGAAACGACTTGTTGCAGTTTATAGTGATTTCAGCTGGAATTGTTTAGATAAATTGATTGGCAATCCTTAAGACGTTGCTAAAAAACACAATCTCCACAGTTTTTGCAAAAAAAAACTCAAGTTATGGTAATAATCCAAGATTTTAGCAGTTGTATGAAGAAAGACTACCAACATGACACTTACATTGTTATCGAAGATTGAATTTCAAAAAATTGTGATTCGAAATTTGATCATTTATACTTACAGACTCACAAAGATCAATTTACTTGTTTAAGGAACTGAACGTCTCAATGCTTTCAATATCACCTGATTACAAATGTAAAGCCAAAGCCTTAATATAGCGCCATAATTTGAGGGGAAAGCAAAAAATTTATTTTTGTTTTCCAACCGCCTTATGAGTAACGTAGGGCAAAGTTTAAAGTGAAGGATTCTGTAAACCAAAACTTCTTTTGTCTTAAAAACTTGGTTTTTTTCAAAATGGCCAAGCATTATCTTTTTATTGTGATCTTTTAAACATTTTTAAATGTAATTGTACCATTTTTTGGGTTATTATCTGTTGGACAAATCATCAATATTTCAATGTAATCTGATTCAATGCAATTCAATTATGGATACATCAAGTTTTCTTCACCTGACTAAGCTGTTTTTCAACACATGTCCATGTGTGTGACTCAACGAGTAACCAGTTGTTATTTGTCAGTTGATTGATTTTCTTAGTGAAAAATTCAAATCCAGATTTAGTTTTTTGGGTTAATTTACTTCACCCAGAATAGTTGAATAGTGCATCATTCATGAGTACATAACCATTCTAATGTTATCTACATTTCTGAATTCACCAAAATTTGAACCTGTTTCTACCTGACTGAATTGTTTTTTTTTGAAACCCAATGGTTTTGTAAAATTCAAATTAGCGAGGTGTTCTCCCAGCAGGATTTCAGATTGAACCAGCAAAAAGGATATCAAACTAAATTCAAAGAGTCTGCAATTGTTACATGTAAAATTACTGATTCAATATAAAAAAGAAGGAAAAGAAGAAAAAATTACCAAGGAAAATGGTGAAAAGTGAAGGAATCAAGGAAAGAATAATGTGAATAAGGAAAGATACAAGAAAGGAGAGTAAAGCTAAAAAGTATACATCAATTCACAGTTGGATGTAACTTGGTAAAAAGATTTGTTAAGCATCGACTGAAAAATAACAAATCCTTCTGATCTTTCATCCTTTCTTCATTGTAACTCATTGACTCACCCCTTCTTGTTTTTTACCTTTTCACTTTTTTCTTACATCTATTCTATTCATCCTTCTTCCTCCTTCCTCCTCCCTTCCCAATGGCAAAGTAAATCTTAAATAGCTAAAGCATTTACACCATTTTTAAAAGTCTCAATCTCAAGTGAATCATCAAATCTCCCATAATATAAACTCCTTCCCCATGAATCTTGCTCAACATTTTCTTATATCTTTCTCCTCATTCATTCTCAAAATCTTTCTATCTTCACTTGTCCTCACAACTGACTCATCTATTCTGTCTCCACTCTCTAACCATCAAAACATATCTTCATCATTTCTCTTCTCAAACTCACAATCAGATTCACTTTGACATTCCCACCATTTCAACTCCCTCTTACCCATTTATGTTGTTTTGTCAACAACTCAGCCAACACGCGATACGTGTTCATCATCTCACTGTTTTTCCTTCTTTTCCCCTGTTCTTCCCTCTCTCATTTAATATCACTTGTTTTAACCATAAAACTCATTTGTAGCCTTTATATATATATTATATAATATTTATGTATAAAGTATACTTGACTTGCTCCCAACCTTACCTACACACTTTCACTCCTCGTCATTTTCCTACTATCATGATTCTTATTTTTTCATCGCTATCATTTTCTTTTCCATTCCTTCTCCTCATTCATTCCCTGCTCTCTCTCTTTCTTTCAACTTGATTGTTATCTTCATCATCATTTTGCTGAATACTGGTCTTCAATTCTTGTAACAGCTTTGTTTGTACTTTCCATTATTTCATTTTTTCACTCTCTTTTTCCTCTTTTCACTTTCAATTCTCTAATTTTTTGTTTCCATTTTTTTCTGCTGATCTCTTGAAACAAACAAACCTTGTTCAGAATCTCACCCATTCCATCTGACGGTTTTCATTTCCCATTGCAACCTTTAAAAAACTTAAGTTGATAATATTTGGCATCTCACTAAAGTAACTTTTCTTCTCTCTTTTCCTTACAGAATTTCCTTCATCATATTCCACATTTTACCATCCATGGAATAACTTTTATCCTGTTAATCTTATCTACTTTGATTCAGATAATATTACACAAGAAATTACCAATGTTAACCTGATGACCCATGCGCCATGAATTTCCTCATCATTTATACGTCATCACAACCTTTAGGATGAGTCATCATGCAGTTTGTTCATGAATCTGAAAGGATGAGGAAAAACAGAGGAAACAGAAGCTGAGCAAGAAAGAACAAGAATGGCAAAGAGTAAAATAAAGAATAAAAAGGAGAGAAAAATGATAAAAGAAAAGATTGGTTTTGGGTGAAGACGACTATTTACAAGGAATCATTGTTATTGTGGTTAAATGGACAAGATGGGTAAAGAATCATCTGAACACCGGAATACAGTGTTTTCAATCAATCCATTTGCACAAGTTAATCATGTTCACTCTGCTAGTTATCTGATAAATCTTTATTCATGCATCCCAACTCTTCACGAGGAAAACCTAATCCAATGAATAGTTGCCAGATATTGAATTTTCATCTGATCGTCTATGAAATTACAATCAATGGTTATTCCAAAAAAATTATTTCCTCTAGACTCTTGTTTGTAAACAGACTGAATAAGTATCAATCCTTTTAATCAGATTGGAATTTAATATTTGGTAATTTTACTCTTATTTTTCCCTCATCCACATAAATCCAACTCCTTCAATCCAGATTATCATATTAGTGTAATAGTAATTCAATATGAACGCTATTAAATCCTCATGATTAACTGATTATTGATAAACAAAATGTTTTTCCAGTAAACATTTCAGATTCTGATAAATAACAAACTGTCAAGGGAACAATATTGATTGTGTATCAATGGATTGCTGTAAAAAACCCTGTAAACCTGTAACAGTTTCTTCTCTTTTCTCCGATACTTCAGTTATTCATTTTCCTTCACTCATTTCAATTGTAAATCAAATTGCAAACCTTTCGTGTAAAATGCAAACCTGCCAATCAAAAGTTTAAAGTCTCGCAAAGGAAATATGTAAATGGTGAAAGCAAAAGGCAAAGAAATAATCAATGTAAACAAATTAATGAATTTCAAGTTGAACTTATTCAATTGTCGGATGAAAGCCCGATGAAACATACAAAAGTTGCCCTTTCAAGAATGAGACAGATTTGATTTGTCAATTCCTCAGAACTGATTCAATGAAAGTTACAGTTAAAGTAAAGGTTACATGAAACCTTCAACAGGAATAAGCTATTCACTTGAATCTTGTTAGTCCAAAAATACCTTTTGATGTACAGTTGAAGACAAAAGCTGAAAGCAAAAAAAAGTGGATCGATATGAACAAAATGTTTTCCTCTACTTTTTTGACAATTTTGTAAACAATTTTGCAAAATCATTTTTCATCAAGTAAAAGTACAAACAAAAAGGCCAACAAAAGGTTAAAGGTAGCAATTATTTCAACCTATTAAATCAATATAAACATTAAAAGGTGAAAGTTAAAAATGAAACCCAAAATTCAAATGAATATTTAATTAAGATTCATTCACTCCAAGTGAAGCCAATTTTTGTTGCAACTTTAAATTTCCATAAATGTTACAGTTTACTGAAGGTAACATTAAGTTGACCAATAAGTCAATCTGAATGTTGACCAAATGTCCAATAAAATGCATCTGATGAAGCCTTTAGCAATTTATTCAATAGACTCTTTGAAATGTTCAATTATTCAGTTGACAGCTATTGACCTCAACAACTGTAATAATAAACCTCTTCTCAACATTATTTCAACTATTCAAGTTTAGATTAAAATTTGAATCATGAAAGTGCAAAGAGAGTTGGGAGTGAATTCAATGAAAAAATGTAATAACTTATTGAGTTTGAATATAAATATTAATAATGAAAGGAAAGGTCAATAAACTTCTTCTTTTTTTGTTCATTTCTTTCATATTCTTTTCTCATTTTATCCTGGACTCTTTTTTTGTTTCATGAAAGCACTATTATTAATTATGATAATCATGATAAAAGGTTTGATAAATTGAACTAAACTGTGTTCATGTGAGTGAATTCAAATGATATGAAAATACGATTTATTAGTTGAGGGATTAAGAGTTGCACCCAAAAGTATTATTACAGTTAAGACACAAAATATATATTTACATTCAATTTGGGTTATTGTTTAGTTCATTGTATTTATTATCACCTTTCTCAGGTATATAATCATCATGTCGCCCGATATAATTGTATTTCAATTTGTGTCAAGTTGCCCTTTTGCATCTTAATTCATCTTCATTTAATTGTTTATATTCAATTGTTTAACGTTGGCTTTTGCTGGTTAATTTAGTTTGCTCATTAGTTTTTCAACTGTTAATATACTTTAACTTGATCAATGTTGAGAATAAGGTAAACATTATTGGCTTTTTGTTTGAGTTACTAATGATTCTGGTTTCAGTTTTGGTCACGTTATTTCATCATTATTCTGTTCCTTTTATTAGTTCCGAGTATTCATTCATTCTAATATTATCTCGGTCAAAATTGAATCAAAATGTCAATTGATCATAAGCTAATTGAGGTCTACATTGGATTGTGTCTTGGCATCTGGTTATGTGAAAATTTGCTTCATTTTCTTGGTGTAAATCGCCAAGAAACCAATTTTAGCAACTTTTGTTTTCATTGTTCGGACAATTGCATTTTTACATTTTTTGCAGTCCATTTTATTCAAGTGCTTGATAGAGACTGTTATA